CACTCAAGTTCCCAAACAAAGACCAGTGAAGTCAAACCATTAGCAAATGTTGACCTCTCTGCTCCCAAATAAGTCACTGACCTGAGTCCTGACCTCCAGTTTCCTAGTATCACCTGATAGGATAAGAGAAGAGGCAAAAGTTTATATGCTGAATAATCTTCCCAGAGAGGGAAGCATTGAGGATGAATTATGAAAGATACTTCAGACTTTACGACTTCATTGGATTTTCTTCACTGCCTGCTGTCCCATTCTAACCCAATGTATGTAAGAGTCTAAGCTCTATGCATGTATGAATTTTTGTCTCTGTTTTCAAAGCTTAGTCCCTAAGGCTGAATATAGTTGTTGGCACATAGTAGACACGAAATAAATATTTAGCGAATAAACAAATCATCTTTTTAAATTTCAGTACTCCCATATCTAACTAGTAACTAAGTCATCATTTCACTTAAATACTTTTCAAACCTGTCTCCTTCTTTCCATCCTTTTTGCTTTTGTCTAAATCCAAACCTTCTCTTCTTTCATATTTACTTCCAGCTAATTCTTTTCCTCTGCTCTAGTTTGTCTGCAGCCATTCTCTGTGCTGTTGCCAAACTTATTGTCCTAATGTTCAAATCCTATTTTATACTGTTCCACACTTTTCCCTTTCATCCTACTTGTCTTTCTGAAGTAGTATCTATATTAGCTTTCTGCTACTGTAACAAGTACCCAAGATAACCAATTTATAAAGAAAAAAAAGGTTTATTTTGACTCATACTTTTGGAGGTTTCAGTCCATGATTGATTGGCCCTATTGTTTTCGGGCTTATGATAAAGCAGCCATTTTATGATAGTGGCACCTGGTACAGTAAAACCATACATGGAATGGCCAGGAAGGGAAGGAGAGAAAGAGGAAGGAGTTGGAGCCTTACCCCACCCCCCAATGACCTAAAGACATCCCAAAGGCTTCAGCATTTCCCAGTAGTACAATGCTTGGAACAACCCTTTACTACATAGATATTTGGTGAATAAACAAGCTCCAAAGTATAGCACCGTATCACATATACGTGTATATGTATAATATATAGATATATGCATATACTTTTCTTGTACTTATGTAACATATATGTAGGACATTGTTAAACACATGTTTTGTCACAGATTCTGAGTGCTAGCTTATGCTTTTTGTCTTTCCATGGTGGTGTTTTGAGCTTATTATAAGATGAAATGTCTGTTATTCACTAACGTACTTTTCTTCCTGCCATGTATTTTCTGTTTTTAGCAGAATACTGATGATAAAAGGTAGAATAGTGAGACAACTATTAAAAGGAAACAAAGGGCATAATAAAGCTGGATGTCAAAATTCATGTATTTGTTATCAAGCATTTGTTATGCTTCTTTGATGATTCTTCAAGAAAATAACCAGGAAGCAGAGTAAGACTCACATGGATTTTAGTTAAAAAACTCTTTGCTGTTAAGAGGCTTTATAAATATAACTCTGGGCTAAAAGGTTGATCAGAAATTATGAGAACCATAGCTGAAGCAACTCTGGTCAGCCATATTGAGGCAAGATAGACCAGGGAAAATGAGGCATGAGAAACAGCTGTCAGGAATGCAGAGATGGACACTTTAATGGAGAACTTGTTCAAAAGCACACAGGCACTATTTCTTTGCTTTAAGCCTTATACTCCTCAATAGGCTGCAACATTAATAAAAGAAAGAAAAAATAGCAGCTCTTTCTCTCTGATCTTGTCTATTTATCCAAATATTTAGTGTGCTCTGGGACTTGAGCAAATATATCTTAAAAAAAGACTCTTGTCTAAGAATAAAACATTTAAGGAAATGATTCCTTTGATTACAAGAGTGTTTGCAAGGGAAAATACATATCTCAAAGCAAGACACCTGTATTAAAAGGAGCATCTGCCAGAACTCGTACTTTGTTTAAAGGGATGCTTAGACATCTATGTTGAAATGACCCAAATTTAATGAACAGATCAACATTACAGTGTCTAGGCCCAATTAATAAAACAGTGTAGCAGCAAAAATGGTTAAAAGTACCCTAATGTGTCCTAAATTCTCTTTTTGCACCAAGTCAAAAACTTGGTACCCAAGGACCAAATACAGGCCTCCTCCCTTTTGGAGACCTCTCCCTGGAACATTACTGATTCTGGTAAAAAATGTCACAATTCTAGGAAATTTGAAGAGAACTGAAGAACGATTGTGAATTTAAATGGCTCTTGCATCACCATGCAGCTGTTATCACTCTGCTTTTTCAAAGGACTCCTCACCCGAGCCTTTGTCCTTGTATACTTGTTGGGACTCTTCTCATTCCCCTAAGCACTCTTTGTTCCAATAATTCCAAGATGATATTACCAGATATAAAGTGTTCTCTTCACTTTTTCTCATAATAAGTCTGCATTGACCACATTACTCCTGCCTTCAGGAAGTCTTCTTTTCCTGCTGAGTGAAGGCCTATGACCTCGATTCGTAACTGTCGTAGCATCAAAGAAGAGGTATTGTGATGGTACATGGTAGCACTCACCACCATTCCGTGGCATTTATCTTGCTTGTCTCCCTCACCAGACTGGAAGCAACTAAAAAAATTTGATCTCAATGTCTGACACATACTAAGTATTAATAAAGGAGAAAGAATATAATAATTAAAATGTTGGATATATGCTTTCAGTTCCCTTTAGAAAAGTCAAAGAATTTGGGTTGAAGAGACAAGAAACCTGTGAGATTTTCGTCCTAAAATGCTCAGTAAGATATACAATCCCTCCTGATTGTTGATTTTATAACCATGTAAAAGCTTTCCTTTTTATTGAGCTCATTCTAGTATGGCACTGTGGCTCAGAATCAATAAAATGAAGAAAAATTTTGTGGACTAGGACTAGGGTTCATTGTAATACATTTTCTTGAGGGTTGTTTCTATTCCACAGGAATCTTATCAATACAAATAAGACTGTGTGGCCAAGTCAGCTAAGCAGTTGGGAAACACTGGAGTATATGACTAAGAATTCAGACAACACCTAGCTCAAATTCCACTTTTGCCACTTTCTACATGAAATTTGAGCAAGCAGCTTAATCTTCTTAATCTGTACCTTGAAGACAATCAACTCTTAAACTTTTGAGGCATATTATACTTTTAAACTCCATTTCCATAGACCAAATGGCAGTATGTGATATTTATAATATGAGAGTTCCCTTAGAATTAACAGTTCCCTTAAAATTAATGGATTTGTGAGAGTATCTGAAACTTAACAAACAGCTCAAGTCATAGTAGTTACTTTTATACAGTATGATTTTTGCATATGCTCAGCTGAGTCTCACTAGTGCCAGAGACAGGCCCAGAAATTTCATTCTTTTGGTCCGGAAGTCTTGTGTCTCACTCCCATCCTGGTTGTCAGTTAGAATACAAATGCTTGGGAATCTAAAAAGCCTCATACCCATGTTGTTATAAATTCTTATTTCAGTATAGCTCAAGCTCCCTGGAGCAATCACTGTGTGATGATACAATGTGAGATAAATGTAAATAAGAATTTTACATAAGTAGACTGAATTAGAAACTGATCTATGGAACCCTGTGTATTTTTTTTTTCATTTTTCTTTTATTATTCATATGTGCATACAAGGCTTGGTTCATTTCTCCCCCCTGCCCCCACCCCCTCCCTTACCACCCACTCCGCCCCCTCCCTCTCCCCCCCCAATACCCAGCAGAAACTATTTTGCCCTTATTTCTAATTTTGTTGTAGAGAGAGTATAAGCAATAATAGGAAGGAACAAGGGTTTTTGCTGGTTGAGATAAGGATAGCTATACAGGGCATTGACTCACATTGATTTCCTGTGCGTGGGTGTTACCTTCTAGGTTAATTCTTTTTGATCTAACCTTTTCTCTAGTACCTGTTCCCCTTTTCCTATTGGCCTCAGTTGCTTTAAGGTATCTGCTTTAGTTTCTCTGCATTAAGGGCAACAAATGCTAGCTAATTTTTTAGGTGTCTTACCTATCCTCACCCCTCCCTTGTGTGCTCTCGCTTTTATCATGTGCTCATAGTCCAAGCCCCTCGTCGTGTTTGCCCTTGATCTAATGTCCACATATGAGGGAGAACATACGATTTTTGGTTTTTTTGAGCCAGGCTAACCTCACTCAGGATGATGTTCTCCAATTCCATCCATTTACCAGCGAATGATAACATTTCGTTCTTCTTCATGGCTGCATAGAATTCCATTGTGTATAGATACCACATTTTCTTAATCCATTCGTCAGTGCTGGGGCATCTTGGCTGTTTCCATAACTTGGCTATTGTGAATAGTGCCGCAATAAACATGGATGTGCAGGTGCCTCTGGAGTAACAGTCTTTTGGGTAAATCCCCAAGAGTGTTATTGCTGGATCAAATGGTAGATTGATGTCCAGCTTTTTAAGTAGCCTCCAAATTTTTTTCCAGAGTGGTTGTGGAACCCTGTGTATTTATACATATGTATCTACGTATGTATATGTGTATGGCTGAGAGAAGGATAATATTAACAATAACTTTTTGCTGATGTAGGTAAGATTATACTTCAAACATATGTTTGAATACACATATGATACATGTGAATGTCTACCTGGATATTATTATACACATCGGAATACACACACATGCAAATATATGCATTATGTGTTATGTTCATAGCACACATATTTATTATGTATGTGATGAACAACTGGCAAATTTGTCACGATACCTCAAAGCAGCTACCTCCTTGTGACTAATTGAGTTAGCAACATGCGGGAAACATAAGAAAGGGAAACAGTTCATGATGCAGGAGTCTTTAGAGCAGCCAAGAGGTGGCCAGGACTTCTGTCTGCTGAACCATTGCTGCAGGACCAGAGCTTCCAGGTTGTGCAACACCTTCAGTAAACACTCGCTGAAGCGAACACAATGAACCACGGAGTTTCATTCTGTCTCACTTAAGAGGAGGCAGAGGCAGAGCCAGCAGCACAGGTGTGAGAGGAGGACAGCACTGGGCTCCTACAATTCCCCAGCATGTGGCCAGGACGTCTTCTGGTAGCGTCTTTCCTCCTTTCTCCAGTCCCAGGTAGGCGACAACTCTTCATGTGCTGAGAAGCACATTATAGGGCTGCATGCGTTTCACCTGCTCCCTATACTTTTGTTGTATAAGATGTTTTGACTACTTGTTTTCCCCGGCTCACTAATTAGTCTGGCTCCTTTTTAAGCTGTTGTTTTGGGGTTGACACTGATGTAAAGGCTCCTGTGTAAGGGGGAGCAGTGAGAAGTCTTGTATTGACATTTACACATCTGATGTGAGAATATTTAGAAAGCAGAGAATATTTCACACAGCATAATATAAGTAACCAATATGATCTTTAGTCAAAGCAGGGAATTCATCAAACTCATCTTGACATTTGGAATGTGTCCAAGGTACAGCAGATTTCTGTTTATGGCTGTGTAAAGGCTTTGGAAAATGTCTGCTGTTTTAATTAAGGCCAGTTCAGCAACTTAGGCTTCTTTGTAGTGAACATTTGTATACATTTAGTCCTTTGAACATTGGTGATAATAAATGTAACTAATTGGAAATAGCCAGTTGACCAACTTCTTATGTATCTCTTCTGACACTACTTGACATGAAAGTATTGCAGTTAAGTGAAAGTTGGTAATTTGCTTCCATTTTTCAGGTTATCTAAGACATTTAAGAAATTAAAAGTAAAGGAATACTGCTTCCTAATATTCTACTGCATCTGGCATTTCTCATCTTTCTGGTAAATTCTCAATTTGATTTTGGATAAACGAGACTTGGTAACTTATTTCTCCAGCTTATTTCTATTTCCAGAGCTTAAATCAGCATAGCAAAAGGCAGCCCCTGGAGTCCTTCCCTGGGAATGGGACAAATTATCAACAAAAAGTACAGGGCTAGGGAAGGAGTGATTCTCTGCTTCTATGTACCCACTCTATAGTTTGTCACTAAAAACATGTTTTTTTCTTACTCTTGGTTTCTAGTTTGTTTTTCAACTGTAAAGTTTTTTTTTTTTTTTACTTAATATCCTTACATACAGAATGATACATACAGAACGTATTCGATACTTGACCTAAAATTCCTACTTTTTAAGCTGAAGCTAGTAAGAGTTTTCTTTCCCTCATGCTTTTACCCATAAACCTTGGGGACCCCACTCTCAGATGAAGCAGAAGAACTGCTTGGGTTATAGCTTTGTCCAAAAAGATAAAGATCAGGCTGGATCCCAATAGCTGAGTCTCATGGCTAACACTAGGACCCACAAACACTATGAACTTTTCCGTGAAATTGGGCACCCCTGCTGTTTCTACTCCCCCAATTATATGTTCACAATATGACACCAAGATATGCAATACCTTAGAAGTCATGACTAAAGATGTGACATCGCTCTGAGTATGCCATGGTAGAGACAGAGGTTCTGAAGTTGACCCTCTGTGCGTGGAGAATGGTGGACAGTGTTCCTCTTGTCTTCTATCTTGAACAGAAAGTTCCTTCCTTTTTTTTTTTTAAGCCATCTAGCTGGTATTGTCAAAGGTATCTTCCTGGCCACTGAACTACCCCCACTGTTTTCCAGCCAGAATTTAAGTAAAGCAATTTTAATTTCTCATTTCTTCCTCTTTGCTACTCTGTCTCCATCAGCAATATCACACATATGTGCCCCTCTACTGAACATTTTTGCCCAATTCTCACTACTTGAAATAAAAGAATGAGATACAAAATAAGGCCAGCTGCTTGTAACAAGCTTTACAATCCCCTGAGAAAATGACTTATGGAATTTCATTATAGGGAAAGGAAAAAAACCCAAATATTTAAAGGGCGCAACATGTGTTTGTGGGGCCAGGAAGTAAACAAGTGCATGACAAAGGAGAAAATCTTTATTATATTCCAGGAGCATATCCAGGGGATGTGGCACTTTTTAAAATTATTGTATTTTAAACTGAGTTTTTTCTTGCTTTCGTAGGGTGACTGGAACATGCTTAATTGTACAATACAATTTGACATCAATAGCCAAAATAATAGGTTTAATTAGGACGTGTCTTTTTCCTCAGAGTTTGTACTCACTTTTACTGCATAAAGTTTAAAAGCACAAGGTTGTTTGAAGGGACACAAAAAAATCTCAGAACTTAAATGTCATTGCCTAAACTCTAATTCAGGGATTGATGTCATATGCTTAGTTTGAACAGACACTGCTTTAAACAGTGTAGAACATGTTTGAGCAAAAATGAGTGTCAATATTATTAATGAGTATTTGAATCTCCAAAATTACCTCAAATAAAACAGCAATCTAGCCTAAGACCTGGCTTATTCTTCTTGCTAGTGAACTTTGGGTTTTCTAAAACTAATGAACACTTAAAAATTAATAATTCTCCAGCTCAAACCAAAATAACAATTTTCATTTTCTCAACCCAATTTTGCACATTAAAACTAATCCAACATGTGAGTTCTGTGGGAGAAAAACAAATATTAAAATAAATTAGAAGAAATATGTTGTGTTATACCTTGGATTTATGTAATCCCTGGGTGGCAGTTAATAGTGTTTGTTCTGCTGACTCAAAATGATTAACTTGGTATTATTCATCTGGGAGGAGGCTGTCCTATCACCATCTAACTTGAGTATGAGTGAGCCAAACAATATTGTCATTATATCTGCTATGAAAATTGTTGTATCAATATCTCCTTATTTCAGGGCCCTTTTGCTTTCAGGAAAGTAAGAGCCTTTAAGGGAAATTCTATCTGTTTTCTTTAGAGAACTTTACTGTGTTGCAAGCGTTTGGAATGAACTGGAATTTCACACTGAGAAGAGTGAGAAATCACTGAAAGCTTTAAAAAAGAAATATTGGTTCAGTTTTTGCCTTGATTGTCTGTTTTGGTTTCTACATGGAAATGTTCGTCACCCAACAATGAACTGGAAATGTTTTATAACTACATATTTTGAGTCCATATTTAAGATCCAGTTGATAATTTCTGTTTTCATGAAACATTTGTATGTATTGGAAGCCTGAAAATCAGCAGGCACAGCAGAGCAAACCAGTGTTTGACAGATCTATTTCTTTATTACTTCTGAATGAGAAGTGTGTGTATATGCTTTTATACAGAGGGTCAGGAAGCTATTATTATTTCATGAATTAAAGGAAGCTTGACTAATACTTTCTGTTAGAATCCTATGTGTTATGGATGAAAACCACTGATAGGTTATTTTTTTTAATAAGAGTTACTGAGCTTGCAGTATTGGCTTCATAACTCAACATTAATGGGCCTAATTGAATCGATTACCCTCTGCAATGTGCCAGGAAGCATGTTGGCAACCTATGGCATGATTGTTTTGTGTCACTGAATTAAAGGAGACAGCAGGGAATTGTATCAATAGTATGAGATAATTTCTGGCAAGAGTAATTTTCTTACCTCTTGGCATTTTATTGTTCTGAAGCAATTATGAAAATTTAACTGGATGGAAAGAAAATGATTATTTAATGTTCTTAGACTTTTCTTTGTCTGTTCTGAAAATGTTTATAACTAATACTGCTGTTTTTCTTTATCAAAAGTTAATTAAATAGAAATAGAAGATGCCTGGTGATTATCTTCAGGACAGCAAGAAACGAGTCACTGAAGAAAATTGTGATGTTGCTCTTGAAGTTTAAGTATAATAAAGCTTATTTTAATAACAACTGATTAGAACTTCTCCAAGTGATCATGACCCTTGCAAAGACATTATAGGGACTCTGCATTTTTGCATAAAATTATACAGTTAGAACAAGTTTTAGCAATTATTTAATCTGTCTCCTATTTTCAAGCAATGAGAAGAAACTCAAACCAAACCCCAAATTACAGTATTCTACTGTCTGTGCCATGGATTCAGTGCATTTTAAATGATTTTTTAGAGAAAATCTCAAGCCATTGACAGAAAAACTCTTACATTATTTTAACACCATATTACCGACTCAGAGTTCTTACTTAGCCATGTCAATGACTTCTAACTCTCCCGGATAAATGTAAATGACTCTTGAGTGATAAAATGAATTAAATCCATCCTAAAATGATAAAAATTTACACTAGTGTTTTTTCAGTTTCTGCTTTAGCTCCTGAGAATTTTTTTTTTTAAGAAACGAATGTTTTGCTCTCTGGGATGTCACTGAATTGAGTGATTACTCCTCCCAGGTGACTAATAGGAAAATCATACTTGATGAATATCTCAGTTATGTTTGTTAAAAGGTTAACCACAGTAACATAAATCTACATTATCATAGAAGATAGGGTTGAGTATTTTAATTAGCTAGGGTTGAGTATTTTAATTAGCTAGGATTGACTTTAGAGAGCCTCCAAATCATGACGCAAAGAAGAAATAAGTCTTTCTGGTCCCAATCTTAGTAAGCTGTAGGATTGGGTGTCCTGAGTCCTACTAAGTTTACATTGTGGGTGGATCTGTAGCCACCTGCAGCAGCCAGAGTTGATCTGTTAACATTTCCTCAGGCACTGCCCTACAAAGAACAGGAATCAGACCACGTGGACAAATGAAAAAGAAAATAGAACTCATTTAACTACAGGAAAACTGAATTTCTCTTTACAATGACTTCTAGAAAAAACATGGTGATGAACATTTAAGATGCAAATAGGTTGCACGAGGTAATTTTCCAATTCTGTTTCAATGTGACTACAGGCTCAAAAAAGTACCCCCAGGTCAGTGATTCTGTTCAAATTCTCTGCTTTTCCAATTTTAATGTTTTTGTGTACAAAAGATGAAGGGTTATTTATATTGCTAATGCCAGCCCGTTCTATAAACCTAGTATTGGAGCCTTTTCTTACTGTGACTTAGTTTTAAATATTGCTATTGATAAATCCAAGAAAAATATATTTGAATCAGAAATGGTATGCATTGGTTCAGTTTTCAGAGTGCTTCTGTTCAATTACTTCAGGGCTGATCAGCTTCTTAGAGGATGGTTTTGCTCTGCCTTTCTTTCCTTTTGTCTTGAACTGCTGCTATGTTCCTGTTTAAGGTTCTACTGCAGGGATTCAGGATGACAAAGGGAAATGGGAGAATTCAAAAGAAATACTGTCATGAAACAGAGAAGCATTTGTAAACTTTTACTGGAAATATAGTTGAGATCATGGATGTTTTGAGAGAAAGAGTAGGTTCCTAATTTTTTTCTCTCCTGGCATCAGCATAGGGATCCCTGGCACGAATCACTAAGGCTTCTTTGTTACATTACTGGGATCGAAATGAAGACAGCCATTGCTCACCAGCCTATTTCTGTTCTGTAACTAAGTTGTCTTTCCCTTCACCCCCCTCCTTTTTTTTTTAAGTTGTTCTTGCTATAAAAGAACTTCCTAAGGCAAAGAAGTATGAAGTGGTTTATCCCATAAGACTTCATCCACTACATAAAAGAGAGGTCAACAAGCCAGAGAAACAGGTATAGTTTCTGCTTTTTCAAAGACTCTTCAAGGTGTGTATGCATATGTATGTGTATATGACATGTGTCTGTGTATATATATATGCATCATATACACATTTAATGTATCAAATGAACTTTTTGATGTTTTCAACTATCATGCCTTTGAGTCAAATAACAATGATTATATTTTTGTTTGTCTTTGAACCATTTATTCTTCCCTTTAACCAAAGTTCTACTCTTAATTTCATTTTACAAATCAAAGTTCTGAGAAGTAAAATAGACTGTGAACTTCAGTATTTTATGATAATTTATGCTTGACTACTTCCAAAATATTAGCTGCAACTTATTTTATCTATCTGTCTACCTATCTGTCTGTCTATCTATCTCCACACATACAATTATGACCATTAAAACAGAAGGAAAAATAAAACCTTGCAAGTGAATGCATATTTGCATTATAATTTGAAATCTGTGTCTTTTATAAACAGGTACCATTAAAATTTGTATAATTCTTACTACTTAATGAAACAACATAGTTTCAGATAACATTCCCTCAACAGACTTTTATTAATTCCAAGAGGAATGCTAAAAAAATGATGACCCAAAATTATGCTGTGGGACACACTTGTTATCCTAGTACTCTGGAGACCAGGGAGAGAGGATGTGAGATTGGGGCCAGCCTGAGCTGGGCTCCATAGTGATACACAATCTAAAAGTAAGACAAAACATGAAACCCAAAAAACTATGATCCACTTAACATCAATATTCTAATTATCTGTGCTCTGAAGTCTTCTGCTAAAAGCCAAGAAAATACAAATAAATGAACCATGACATAACTTTAGAAATGTCATAAAATGCAACTCACTAGGAGAACATATTCTTGTTCTAAACAGGATTCGTACCAGTATTTCTTCCAAAACAAATTTATAATAGCAGGACACAAAGTAGACCCTGTTTCTCAAAACACCATTTGTCAACAGAATTTTTCTACTAACTGAGATGGAATCTATGTGCAATCCAATATGAAAGATCTCAGATGATTTATTTTTTTTTTTAGTTGTCAGAATTGTTTGATTTGTCCAAAAGGGAAGAGGCAGACAATTGGTATACAGCTTACTGCTAAAATAAAAAAAATATTGCATGCTAAGGGTTAAACAGATAGAGCGAGTTAATTATATTGAACTTCTTATATGGAAAAAATAAACAGAAATACCCAAATGAACATTTGTGTCCACTTTTTAATTACCAGTGCATTTTTGTGCATTTTTTCAGGGACCATTTGAAACCGAAATAAGGTATAAAATGACAGTTAATGAAAAAATCGCAGTGCTTTATTTGAAAAAAAACAAGTGAGTACTTTTACCTCTGATGTTTTCCTCGCCAACAGCAAGTTTGGGTGTGGGAAATTGAGTTTGTTACCAGTCATTGCTCTCAAAACCTTGACTCATCCATTTCTGCTGTCAGCTGGCCCAAGGAGTTCAGTAAATATTTGTTTCTATTAAAGTAGTAGAAATACATTGAGTAAAACAGTTTACTAGTATTACTTTTAGGAATAAAACATATTGAATGAGGTGTGAGCAAGCACAGATTTTATCTATTCTATGAAGTAACAGATGGCGAGGTTCCAATGTACTTGATTGTAATTTTTTAAATTTTCTTCTATCTTATTGCAATGTATTATTCTAGCACAAGAAAATATTAGAAAACCAGCTGCAACTCAAAAACAGCAAGACATATACAAGTGAAATGAAGCTCCAGGGCCAAATAAAAAGCCAGTGGCAAAAACCAGCCCCTCCAACATTAGTGCTCTATCTTCCAAAGTAGCCATGGCCCCCATTCTTCTTGTGTATCACCCTGTCTTTTTGTTCCTTCATTCTCTTCATTTGGTCCATGTGAATTCAACACTTTGTTTCCAATTTCACTGCCACAGCTTTGACCCAATCCTTCCTCTTCCTACATGCAGACTATTTCAAAAGTAGGTTTTCTCTAAATCTGTGCTTTCAGTAGCTTTTAATCCCTACATCATTCAATATAAGAATTTTCCTCCCAAAGTACTGTCACATTTTCAAAAATTTACAACAGACTAAAATTTGAAAACAATGTTGTGTATGGAAATTGTACAGACTTTGCGTTCAGGCCAATCTAGTTACGAATCTTTGCATTTTGAACTATTCATTCTCATTTTAAAAACAAGGAAAGCAATATATATCTTACCAGATTATTAAAAGCAAAAATTAAATGATACACATTACATTTCAAAGATAGTTCTTGCTATAGGGATTATTACCCCTTTTTCTCTTTACCCTGCCTCTTTTTTTAAAAAACATGCATTTTTAACAATAGCCAAGTTATGGAGTAAACTTAAGTATCCATTGATAACTGAATGGATAAAGAAATTGTGCTATATATACTCACATATATATACTCACACACACATATATATTATTTAACCTCATAAAGGAAATCCTACTATTTGCAACAACATTGATGATCCTAAATGACAATATGCATAGTGAAATAAGCCAAGCACAGAAAGATTAACATGTACTAAGTGATCTAAGTTAGTTATGACATCTAAAAAAGTCCAACTTATAGAAATAAAGAGAATGGAGAATTTTGACTCTGAGGGTCCAAGCTTTTAGCTGTAACATGAACAAATTCTGGAAACCTTATGTATAATATAGTGATTATAGTTAATATATTTTATACTTGAAATTTGCTAATAGAACATGTCCTAAGTGTTCTCATCACACACACACATTCAAACGTACACAGTACCTATGTGCAATGACGGAAATGTTAGCTTGTTTATGCTTTTCACAATGTGTTTGTATATCAAACCATCACATTGTATCTTCAACCCTATTTTGTCAATTATACCTCAGTGTGTGTATATATATATGTATATAAAGTCATTCCTTAATATTCTCAAATGATTGGTTCCAAGAGCCTTTGAAGGTATCAAATCCTCAGATGCTCAAGTTCCTTATATAAAATGGCCTAATAGTTGCATAAAACCTACCCATATTCTCCTGTTAACTTTAAACCATCTCGAGATCACCTATAATGCCTAATACCATGTAAATGGTATTTAAATAGTTGTCATCCTATTTTGTTTAAAGAATAATGATCAAAAGATTGTATGTAATCAGTACAAATGCAGTTTTTCCAGATATTTCCATCTGTGGTTGGTTGAAAACATGCATGCAGAACCCAGGATATAGAGGGCTGTGTGTCTATACACACATACACACATACAACACACACTCAAGCTCTCATTCTTAGTGAGGCTTAGTGAAGGTGCCAAAAGGCTGAACTAACTACTCCAGCAACTCTGCCCTGCCACTGGTAACTAAAAGGACTGGGTGAAATGCAGCTATGCCTCATTGATAGAAGCATTGCTGGTATCATTTATTTTCTTTCAATTTTGACCTTCTCAGTTCTGCTTCTTGTGAAGTTTCAAACAAGTATTTGAAGTCCCATGAGGAAGGCATTGTTCCACATACTGAAGAATGTCCCTGCTCTTCTCAGCCCCTGCTCCATTTGAAGCAGCCTTTTCTTAAGGGATCAGGAGGAGCAGCTGAGGAGTAAAACTTGACTGCACACCCAGAGAAAATTATATTTTGCACATTGGACTTCACAATTAGCACCAGTAACCATGCCATTTCTTTTTCTTTTTCCAGGAATCTCCTTGCACCAGGCTACACAGAAACATACTACAATTCCACTGGAAAGAATGTCACCACGAGCCCACAAATCATGGTATAAATGAGTCTCCTAGATTTCTTGGTGAAGGGGATGTACCCTGCAGACCTCAGTATAGTCCCTGCCAGGCAAATAGGAGAGAAATTTCATTTACAGTCTTGGTGTTCCCTACCTACTAGTAACTACTTAATTGTCCCCAACTTTCTGCATTTTGCTAAGAACAATGAAAAAAAAATCCTTGACAACTCATTTGAAACTGGTAGAACTCTTTGGATAGATAAAGAAATAAAAATACATCTGAATAACCTGGCATTTGGGAAAAGACTAGTAGGTCTTAGTTTTGAAAAGTTTGATGAGCAATCAGGCGTTGAAGGGGAAGAATAAAAGCCAGGTGTTTGGGGGACTGAGGTTTTAAACTTATACAACTAAATGTATTTATTCTAAACAGTGTGCAATTGTTTTGTCCTATTCCAGCAATGCCAATATGTAAGGAATATTCTATATGCATATGGGATCATTAACATAAAATATTTTTACACATAAGAAGCTTTATACTTGATTAATTTTTTAATATCTCTAAGTTGACTACTTTTTTTGTGTGGTGCTGGGGTTTGAATTCAGGGCCATGTACTTGCTAGGTAGATGCTCTGCCACTGAAGCCACTCTGCCAGCCCTCTATGTTGACTATTGTCTAGCAGAAAATAGTTTGAAAGCATTATAGGTCTGTTTTAAGATAGCGAATTCAAGTTCATCAGAGAATACTATTTATCTCTACAAACCCCTTTTCTCTTTCCTCTAGGATGACTGCTACTACCAAGGGCACATCATTAATGAGAAAGTTTCTGAGGCAAGCATTAGCACATGTAAGGGTCTCAGGTAAGATGTCATGAACATTTTGCATATATCTGTGATTATGGTGTGTGTGCTTAATAAATCTGAAGACTCTCAAGTGTAATTAATTATACTTTAGCTGAGGATGAATCTTAAGGGCAACAAAATTTTTAAATTTCAAGCAAATAGCATTTCTTTTTATAGCAGTATATAAAGTCCAGATATGAGGTTTTTTCACTGTTGTTTTATTTTGTTTGCCTGTTGTTAAAATAAGTTTTTGAGATTCAGGTTTAGAGTCAGAATCTTTAGGAAATGGAAGCTCCTCTTTAACTTCTCTCTCTACTTTGAATTCTCACTAGCATGACTTTGGCATCCATTTCTTTCTGTTAAGGATTCCTTATGTGTCTGTCGACAAAATGGCATTTCTTCTGTGCCTAGTATTGATGGTCTAAATTCCCTTTCCACATTTCCAGTTGGACACCGTAAAGAATTTCAATCTCAGTGTATCCTAAATCAAGCTGATTGTCTCACAAATTTGGTATTTATCCTTCCTTCTCTCCCTCATCAGTGGCATAAACAAATAATAGCTTGCTTAATCCGGAAACCTAAATTCCTTGAAGACTTTCTCGCCCACAGCACCCCATTTTCATTATGTGTATCAAGCTCAATTGATTATACCTTCTATTTCTTGAGATTGTTCACTGATTCTGTCTCTACTGCAACATCCTATTTCAGCTACTATGATCCTTTATGTTAACCATTGAGAAAAGGCCTCATAATTCATCTCCCACATTCACTCTTGGTATCTTGGAGGTCTACACACAATTACCCCAGCCTGTCTATTGTATGCTCTTTCACTTTTTCTTCATACTAATTATCTGTTGTAATTATGCATGTTTTAAATTTACTGTATATTGTATATACTTTGATTATTTCATACATATCAAATTTCCTTCTTTGAATATAAGCTCTGTGAGGGAAGAGGCAGTGGCTCATTTTTACTGTTTCCCTCAAGTACAATGTGTAGTGAACAATGGGTGCTCACTGAATATTGGGTGAATGAATCTTAGCTCAGCTTAGCACAAGGAATTGAGAAGAATTTGACAATTTTCACTGGTCACATGCAAAGCATGTTATCTCTTTCAATCTTTGCCATCATCCTGTAAGATAGACAGCAACATTTCTGTTTTATAGATGGAGAATCTGAGGGTAAATGAATTTAAGTAATTTTCTGTGTTGTCACAGATGCTTAGTGTCAACCTGATTAACTATAAGACTACAGGTTCTCTGCCATCTCCAGGGCAAAACTGTATCTACTATAAAGGGTTGAATCCTTAGAGTAGAGACAGCATGAAAATTGGAAGAACACTGGGTTGTGTCAAAAAATGTTCCTATTCTAGTGTCAGAGCCAACATGGCTGGCTACCAGACACTGAAATAATTTTTTTCTCACTAACAGGTCCTATTTCAGTATAAAGAAAATATGTTTGGGTAATATTTGAGAGCATCTTCAGCTGTTAGTATCCCTGTATTCTATCATCATGAGATTAAACTCTTTTGGCATTGACTAGAGATTCTGTGAGGTCCCACTGGGGAGTCGCAAGTCTGTACAACCCAAATGCAAGCACATTTTGTTAAGAAAAGCCTGGACTCTTATGTTCCTCAGGGGCTACTTCACTCAAGGAGATGAAAGGTATTTCATTGAACCTTTAAGGCCCACAAATCAGGATGAACAAGAACATGCACTCTTCAAGGATGACCCCAATGAAGACAAAGCTAATGGCACCTGTGGGACGGATGATGTGTTAGGGGTACATGGCTCACACCAGGATTTGGCCCTATCTGCCACCAGATTAATCGTATGTACTCTTTTATTTTTTACTTGTGCTTCTGAAATGTATCCTGCCCAGGGTTCCAGTCTTAGCAGTGTAAATGACTTACCATTTTCTAGTCATTGTTGAAATTAGTTGATTTTAGAGACAGTAATCACAAAGCATTGCTGTACATTGATGGTTCATTTAACAAGCATTTGTAGATCAACGATTATTGCAGCAATGTGTAAGGGTTAAAAGAAGTCTGAAATGTAAACCTGTCCTCTGAGAGCAAATAAGTCCCAATACCACTCTTGGGGATATACCCAAAAGACTGTTACTCCAGAGGCACCTGCACATCCATGTTTATTGCGGCACTATTCACAATAGCCAAGTTATGGAAACAGCCAAGATGCCCCAGCACTGACGAATGGATTAAGAAAATGTGGTATCTATACACAATGGAATTTTATGCAGCCATGAAGAAGAACGAAATGTTATCATTCGCTGGTAAATGGATGGAATTGGAGAACATCATTCTGAGTGAGGTTAGCCTGGCTCAAAAGACCAAAAATCGTATGTTCTCCCTCATATGTGGACATTAGATCAAGGGCAAACACAACAAGGGGATTGGACTATGAGCACATGATAAAAGCGAGAGCACACAAGGGAGGGGTGAGGATAGGTAAGACACCTAAAAAACTAGCTAGCATTTGTTGCCCTTAATGCAGAGAAACTAAAGCAGATACCTTAAAGCAACTGAGGCCAATAGGAAAAGGGGACCAGGAACTAGAGAAAAGGTTAGATTAAAAAGAATTAACCTAGAAGGTAACACCCACGCACAGGAAATCAATGTGAGTCAATGCCCTGTATAGCTATCCTTATCTCAACCAGCAAAACCCCTTGTTCCTTCCTATTATTGCTTATACTCTCTCTACAACAAAATTAGAGATAAGGGCAAAATAGTTTCTGCTGGGTATTGAGGGGGGGAGTGGGAGGGGGTGGAGTGGGTGGTAAGGGAGGGGGTGGGGGCAGGGGGGAGAAATAAACCAAGCCTTGTATGCACATATGAATAATAAAAGAAAAATGAAAAAAAAAAATCTCCTGATGGATGTGTACATCAAAAAAAAAAAAAAAAAAAAGTCCCAATACTCTCTGCAGTCACTGGCAAAGGAATCAGTAGTAACCAGGACAGGATTAAAAAGCCTACTTATGTAAAACCACTGGAAAGATGTTAAATTCAAAGTTTCTCTATTTCATGGCAGTACGACCCAAAAACTTCACTGGTTAGAAAATCCAAAGACTGGTTCCAACACTCCCTTATTAATCAGTTATGAAATCATTTAAACTGTTTGGTAAAATGAATGAGCCAGACAAGAATTTTACTACTCTCCCTCCTCGCTATCCCATTCTGAAACTTGTCTATAGATAATTCTGGCTGTAGAAATGGTAATTTTATTCTCAGATATCGTTCAACATTTTATAAAACTGCACACATCAAGGAAAAGAGGGAAATATTTTGTCTTAGTAATTATGCTCCTTATATTTCAGAAGTTGAATGACCAGAAGGTTCAGGAGCAAAAGAAATACATAGAATATTACGTGGTCCTGGATAATGGTGAGGTAATTATATCAGATAAAGGTGCCTTTAAAAATCTTCCTCTGCATAAATTTATTCATAATGTGAGATGTTAAATGTCTAGAACAGTTTTGAAAAAATCAGGAATATGAACTTCAGTGGCAAGATCTTTTGAACCTATAATATTTGTAATTAAACTGATAGGATTTCTGCTTTTTCAGCAATGGGGATCTGATATGATGTGCATAAATTGAATCATTGGACTTATAATGATGTTTTCTTATTGTCTTAGAAGTGCCAAGCATAATTTCTAATTCAGTTGTTTTTGCTGTAGTGTGTTCTGTGAAGTAGTGAAACATTAATGGATCAGAGTGTCCATTCCTTAGGGAATAGCTAGTATAAAAGCCCAGTGACCAGAATCTTTTATCTGTTTGTCTAGTGTAAGAGTGCATTTTCATATACTGGGGTTTCTAAACAAGATGTGAATGTGTTTAATATCAAAAAGAAAACTCTTAGTCTATAAAAGTATGGGTAAATTAATTCTGGACCTAAAGATTTGGCCTCTCCTATCGCGCTGAATTCACTTACTATTCATACATTTTTAAAAAATGAATAAGCTATTAAACTAGTCCTTGTACTAATTTGTATAGTTTATGAAACCATAAAATTTAACTGAAAATATATTTGTAATACCTTTTTTTACGCCAAGTACCCAGGGCCTTGTTTCCTACCCCGTTAGCCATGCCCCAGCCTTTTTGTATTTTCTTTTCTGAGGTGGTTTCAGTAGCTTTTGCCCAGGCTAGCCTCTAACTTGTGATGCTCCCACCATTGCCTCCAGAGTAGATGAGATTATAGGCATGAACCACCACATCTATTTTTGTTTTTGTCTTTTTTATTTTTGGTGATCCTGGGGTTTGAACTCAGGGCCTCATGCTTGCTAGGCAGGCTCTCTACCACTTCAGCCATTCTGGCAGCCCTTTATTCTTTGGTCTTTTCAATATAGGGTTTTGCTATGCAGCCCAGTGTGGTGTCGAATTCATAATCCTCCTGCCTCAGTTTCCTGAGTGCTGAGTTCGCAGGTGTGTACCACCACACCCATCTAAAACTCCTAACAGCTCAACACTGACCCACTACTTCAGGGAAAAAACGTAATCTCAATTCCTAAAGTACTTTAATTTAGCTAGAAAAATAAGAATCCATTTGATTCTAAAATTTAAGTGATAACATTAGTAACTGACCCTAAATTATATTTACTGATTAGTAGTTAGCATTTATTTCTTGCCTTCGATTTATATTAATTTATATTAACACCTATTTCTTCTTGACTTTTTTTAGTTTAAGAAGTACAGTGAAGATCTAGATGAAATAAGAAAGAGAGTGTTTGAGATGGTCAATTACATCAACATGGTATGACACACCCTACTAAATGTCATTCCAAACATTTTCCTAAGAGGTGTTTTAGGAAAATTAGGTTTTGTATGAAAGCACATGAACTCAGGAAAGAGAGTCCAGTCCCCAAGACTGATGCTGCTCAGGACTCCTGAGGGAAGACCATGGATTTTGCTACTTAATTGATTATTAATATCACATGATATAGACTTTTCTCACCAGTGTACCACACGGGTGGTTTTGATGGAATGCTTTTTGTGTACCTGAAATCTACCAAGAAAATGCAGAAAACAAAATCCTAACAGAAAGCTGATGCAAAGAAAACAATAAAGTAATTATTTAAAAAATGCCATCTCTGGCTCACTAGCATCTTCCATATGCATTTGCTCACTGCCTCAAAACAACCCTAAATAAGACATTACTAAAGCCTAATACACAGCTAGAGAATTGTATCCTAGGAAGCACAGTAAGTTGCCTAGACCACAAAGTTAGAAAATGATGGGCATCAGATTTGAAAATAGATCGCCATATTTGAAGCTCATTGCAGTTATGCAACTGTTGATTATGCTGTTTGCATTTCTCTGTACCTATAAACCAGTCCAGAGTATTAAAATGATTTTATATCCCTTTAAATATTGTCAGTTTCTTATAAGATGAGTATAGTTGGCATTCTTAGTTTGAAATGAGCAAGTTTCCTAAAGGTGCTTGCAAATCCTCTAAAGATAGAAAAAATGAGCAGGAATTCAGTAACCTGAGTCATAGCTCATCTTCTCACCACAAAGGTCACACTCATTCTTTCTTTTAAGGAATTCCAAGAACAGGCTATGTTTGTTGAGCAACTATTTTGTGCTATGTACTGTTCTATGTTATAGAACTGAAGTGGAGAACAAAGTGGACAAGCATCCCTTTCTTCAAGGAGTTAACATTCTTGTTAGGGAAACAAACATAAAAAATTAAGTTGGATGTTAGATGGTGATGGGTGCTATAAAGAAAAGTAAAACAGAGAGAAAATCAGGAGAGTGACAGAGGCTCATTTTGGTGGCTAGGTTAATAAGGAAGGCCTCTCTAATAAGGTGACATTCAAGTAGTGATCTAAGAAGGGAAGGGAACATTTGATCCTATGGAGAGTGCACAGCAGAGTGAAGGCCCTGAAGGCAGAGCCCAGCTTGTCAGGTTTGAGGAGGAGCAAGAAGGTAGTATGCCAGGGCAAGGATGAGAGGAGAGAAGCTATCTGATAGGTAGGGGTGACCAGGACCTAAGTAAGGGCTTTGCATTACCTATCACAAGTGAGAAAGAAACCAAGCTGAGGTGTGATGTGTTCAGATGTTGAAAACAGACAGAGAGGAAGGGAAGACAGGGCAGAAGCAAGGCCAGTAAAGGAATTGTGCCATGGGAAAAGTAGTGATAATGGATTTGAATGGAATAGCTGAACTTTGGGTCATATTAACAGTTATGGGATGAGTGGGAGATGGAGGATAAGAAAAAGAGTCAAATGACATCGAGGATTTTGAATTGAGCAACTTTAAGAAAGGTAAAGAGGAGTGGGGAAAGCATGACAGGGAGAAGATTAGGATTCAGTCTTAGCAACATGACCTTGGAGACATCTTTTATACATCGCAATAGAAATGCTATTAGGTTGAGTATATTAGAGAGAAGTTCAGATGCGAGGTCTGAGTGGAGATATAAATTTAACATCTTCAGTACAGGCGCATGGTGTAAGACATAAGCTAAAACGCAGCTACACTGTTTTAAAACTACATTGCCTATGGATGCTTTCTTGCTACAGAGGCAGAGTAGTAATTTGTCCATATAACACATTACTTCTCTAAAGCCCAAATCAGCACTGAGCCAATGTTGCTAATTCTTAAATATTGTGACTCTCAAACATTGAAAAACATGTGGGTAAATACACTTACATTGAAGGAATAGGAATTAGCTTCTAACATAAAATTGTGGTGTTTCTTGAGGCAATAACCAGGAAAACTTTGTCTTCATAGGGCCTTTGTTCCACAAAAAATGAGTTTCACTATCTTTTCCTTTTGAAGGAAGATTTTAGGGTCTGCAAAAAGAGGGGGTAACTTCTGCTTCACAAATGTGTTGGAAAGTAGGTTTTTATAGTACCGATATGAGTGTTTTAATAAAATGGAAGTAGCTGGAAATATCAAAAGATAATGTCACCATTCTTAGTGATTGCTTTGTCACATTTTTTTTTTTTTTGGACAGCTTTATAAAAAGCTCAATACTCACGTGGTGTTAGTTGGGATGGAAATCTGGACAAATGAAGATAAGATAAAGATAACCCCAAATGCAAACTCCACCTTGGAAAACTTTTCCAAATGGAGGAGGAGTGACCTTCTCAGAAGAAAGCACCATGATATTGCTCAGTTGGTCTCGTATGTATGATTTTCCTCTTTGTTTCCATGTAGAATTTAGCATAGAAGATTTTCAAAGCCTTGACAATGATCGGGGTGTAGAGAAGAAGAGGTAAATACATACAGAATTAAAAGTTTAAAAAGCACTCACTTGGCTCTTATGTGGAATATCCACTTTCCTTTGATCCAGATTTTTTTTTATTTTAAAGAACAGCTAATAACACGGCAATAATTCATAAGTTCTTTTTAAAATTAAGTATACAGAAAAGAAGAACATGTTTATATAATGAAAAAAGGAAGTTAGACTCAGTGTTTTAAAAGAACTGATTGGCTTTAGTCTCTATTTAAGAGAAATGTCTATAATTGAGGGAAAATGATTATATTCTAACCCCACACTCTACTATTCTACTGAAATGACCAATAGAAACAAAAGGAGAAGTAAATCTAGTGGCTGTAAATTACAGAAGATTTGAGTATATCTTTTAAAAAAATCAAGACAATGCTGTTGTCTAGCTGGATGGCTTTTAGTTGGAACAAGGCAGAAGGAAGCAACAAAGATTGACCTCAAATTACTGGAAATACCTCTTCCTAAGAAAACACTGCATGACACGGGAATGGTGTACACTTTGTGAAAATTACTGCAGATTTCTGTATGTCATATATCACTGCATAACAAATCAGCTCAAAATTTATGAACTTAAAACAAGGCTACTTCACTGTACTAGTTAGCTTTTTGTCACTACAACCAAAATAACTGACATAAATGACCTAAGGAGGTGAAAGGTTTATTTGACTCATGGTTTCTGAAGTGTCAGTCCCTCATGAAGTGGAATGTGTGGTGGATCAGAGCTTTTCACTTCCTGGTGGAGAGGAGGCAGAGGAAAGGCAATACAGGAAGGGACTATGGCACAAAATATACCCAAAAGACATCCCCCCCCAATGACCTACGTTCTCCCAGTAGGCCCCACCTCCTACTTTTTTACCAGCTCCCAATAATGCCATCATATTATAAGTCCACCAAGGGGTCGGGGGCATAACCCTTTCATCAGGTCAGAGTCCTCGTGATCTAATTGTCTCTGGAAATGCCATCACAGACAGCCAGGCCGTGCTTTACTAATCTCTGAGGCATCCATTAATCCAATCAAATTAACAATCAAGATTAACTATCACATTCAGTTATACACCTGACATCTAGGCTGGTATGGCTAGCATAAGGGGACTCCCTCTAGAGCCTCGCATGTGGCAAACTTAGACTTCTTCCTTCTTCCAGTGTGGTCAGCAGTTAAACTTCTTCTAAGGCAGCTATCTTCCTATGAAAAGAATCCCAGGAGAAACCACTGAGACTCTTTATGACATAGCCTCAAATGTTACCATGTCACTACTTGTGTATTCTCTTGATCCAAGTCATGTGATAGGGCCAATCCAGTTTCAAGGGGGAAGATACTACTCAGATTGTGAACACGGCAGGGCTGGCCCCTTGGATGGCCATCTTTGGAAAGTAATTAATGCAATTCCTCAATTTGGAAAGGTGAGTTCTAGCTTTGGACATACCTTAGACAAAGCCCTTTCTTATTGGAGAGATTTAGTGACTTTCCAAGGTCGTGTAGCCAGTCAACTTGTATTATACTCCTACACTGTAGAGTAATGGAATCAAGGTAAAAATCATAGACAAGATGATAAATGTGAAGGCAAAAACTGACAATGCAATGTTGACTGTAGATTTCTTGAAGAGACCTGAATAAGCAGAATGCAAGCACTAATTAGGATGAAGAAAATAAATGTCCTTTCATTTATAAATTGAAAGTATTACCACTTACAAGACAAATTTAAAATAACCTATTCATAGTTACAACCAGGTAAGAATTTTAGAGTCCAACTACACTCTACTCACTAAGAAGAGGAGTCAAAATAGACAACTCCCAAATGGAAAAAGATAGTTTGGTAAATATGCTAGTAGTGAGAATTGAAACCACACAAATATAGTTAAGCATAAATTTCTTTGCAATGCGGAATAAATTTAAAAGAGAACAGAAATGTCAGAAATCTTTAAATATGTAAATGCAAAAATGTAATTTCAAAATGATAATTATCGGTTATTTTGAATTAAAGGTGAAATCTGTAGGGAATGGAAAGTGGGAGGAAGTTCTACAATTTTCTTTGTGTGGTAGAATTCATAATGTCCTTTTATGGAAAAATATTGGTTTAATTTTTCATGTAAGTACACCAAATAGAGGAATTTAAAAATTAATGAATTATCAACGGCTAGAGTCTTATACAGAGAGCAAGAGAGCAAAAACAAAGGAAAGACCATGTTATTGTGGATAATTAACTAAAGAAATGAAAATGGGCCCAAACCCCAAATCCTGCTGTAACAAAAACAGTATGAAAGAAAGACAATAATATAACAAATATTTTATGTTATAAAATATATTTTATATGTTACAACATAATGAGAAAAATGAAGTGTGTGTAGCCATACTAATATTAAAACAAGATATATAGAGAGGAATATTTCTTGATGATGAATAAATTTAAAAAGACACAATGTAATCATCATGAATTACATATAAAATATTAAGTGGATTGCATTCAATTGCTTAGACTTCAAGAAATATGAAAGACGCTATAGAAAAAAAATTCTCATGCAATTTTAAAAACTGAAGGAAAATTTTTAAGAGAGTGGTGAGTCACAATTCTAATTTCTCTGCTAACCATTTACAGTTCTGGATGAACTGTTTATAGAAAACATCACTTAGAATCATAATTTTTGTATCAATTCATTTCTTATAGCTCAACAGACTTTTCTGGAGCAACAGTGGGCCTTGCTTTCCTGTCTTCAATGTGCTCTTCTTACCATTCTGTTGGCATTGTTCAGGTCTGTTTGAAAATCAACTGTTGGTTCTATAATTCACATTTGCCAAATGTTTGCCCTTTCCCCCAAATCTATGGCGATCATTAGAGTTTTTTCCTGTGGTCTATTGGCATGGTAAATAGCATTAATTGAATTATAAATGTTGAACTCATCTTGCATTCCAGGATAAAACCAAATTTAGCTATATTGCGTATGTTTGATTCAAAATGCTAATACATCCTCAGAGACTTTGCATCTATAATTATGCAGGCTCTTTGTCTATAGTTTTCCATCATTGCAATGTGGATTTTAGATTTTGTCATCATACTAATGTAAGTCACACAAAATGAGTTGAAATGTGTCTCCAACTCTTTGATTTTTCTGGAATATTAGCATAAGATTGCTGTCATTCCTTCCAAATTATTTAATACAATTCACCAGAAAAACAATGTGGGACTGGAGTTTTCTTTGGAGAGATTTGACTAGAAATTTACTGTCTTAAATAGACCATTAGGTCAATTCAGATTATCTTTACTTGAGCAAGCCTTGGTACTTTGTCCTTCCACGATATCTTTTATCTTTTCAGTACAGGGTTTGAAAATAATCTCTCTTTTCTCATTGATGATATTAATTTTGTGTGTCTTTTTATTGTTGTTGCCGCCAGTCTGGGTAAGGATTTACCAATTTTATTGATCTTCTCAAAGAAGCAGCTTTTGAGTGCATTGATATTTTCCAGGGTTTTCCTGTTCTTAATTTCATTGGCTTTTGCTCTTGTCTTTATTATTCTTTCTTCTCTTTATACTATATTTAATTTCTTCTTTAATGCAATTTATTTCTCATTATTCACTGCTCGAGTTATATCCAAGATATTTGGATATTTGTGCTTGTATTTTTGTTCAGCTTGTATTTTGTTCAGCTTGTATTTTGTTCTTAGTGCTCTATATAAACTTGAAAAGAATGAGTCTTCTGTTATTGTTGAATACATTATTCTATAATTGTCAATTATGGCAAATTTAACTTAAAACATTGTTCAAGTCTTTTAAATCCTAAGGAACAGTGTTGAAATACCTAAGTATAAATGTAAATTTGTCTGTTTATTCTATAAGCTTTAGCTGCATGAATTTTGAAATTCTGTTGTTAGGTATATACATAACTGTTAAGTTTTCTTGAATAATTAACACTTTTATCATCATATAATCATCCTGAAATATACAACCCTGATATATTTCTTGTTCTGGAATCTACTTTGTATGACATTAATATATCTACTAATATATCTATTATTTAGTCAAAGTGTTCTCATGATAAACCTTTCCATACTTGTACTTTTAATCTTTGTATTTATCTACACTTAGTCAAGGTTTCTGGTAAACAGTGTGCTATTGAATTTTACTTTTTGTCTTTCTTTAATACTGGGGGTACATTGTGATATTTATAAAATTCTTGAAAGATATCAATGGTTGAATTCACCCCCCTCCATCATTCTCCTTTACTTTCCCTCCTCCCGATTCCTGAAATAGTTTCAACAAGTCTCATTTTTCCATTTTCATATGTGAGTACATAATATTTCTACCATATTCACCTCCTATACCCTTTTCTTTTATCCTCTCTCCTTTTACTGCTACCAAATCCCAGATAGGACTTGTTTTACCTTCCTGCTCTCTGTTTTTGAAAAAATACATTTTTGTTTGCTTGAGATAGCTATACAGGGAGTTTCATTATGACATTTCCATGTATATATGTATTATAACCTGAATTGGTCCATCCCCACTATTTTCCTCCTTTCTACTTTAGTTCCCTTCTAATGGTTATTTCAATAGGCTAAAAAATTCCATATTCATTTTTGTGAATTTTACTTTTTTTCTAATATAAAAATCTCAGTCTTTCATTTGTGTATTATGTTTATTGATATATAATGTACTAATTGATAACCTTGGAATAAAATCTTCCATCTTGCCACTTACTATTCTATCTAGTATTTGGTTTATTTGGGTTTTTACTGCCATCATTAGAATGAATTGAGCATGTTAAATAATAATTTTATTTATCTGTATTTTTAGGTTTTTTTTCTGATTTTTTAAAAATTAATTTATTTTTTCATTATTCACATGTGCATACAATGCTTGAGTCATTTCTCCCCCCTGCCCCACCCCCTCCCTTACCACCCACCCCGCCCCTTCCCTCTCCCCCCACCCCCTCAATACCCAGCAGAAACTATTTTGCCCTTATCTCTAATTTTGTTGAAGAGAGAGTATAAGCAACTTTATTTGTTTAATGTTTTCCCTAGTAAATACCATACATCTCTACTTGTCAGTTTGCCTTTAAATCATATTATACTGCTTCACTTGCAGTCTAAGAAGTTTAGAAGAGAATATGTTAATTCTTGCCTCCCATCCATTGTGCTATTGTTGTCATTTGTTTAACTTCACATACACTATACCATCACAACCATATACTGCCTTTGTTTTAGTCATATTTCATTGCAAGTATTTCCACAGACTCTTTGATTCCTGTAACCCCAACTTACTGATAGATTCAAGGAAAATTATAATTGCTTCTCTGCCTTGTTCATATTAGTGATAGACTCTGCTGTTTCCAGCTTTGTACCTACGAGGTAGAACTGGAATGAATATATTTTTTAGTGATTATGAGTCTCTGTGTGTGATAGGCTTGATGGGATGAATAGAAGTAAAACATATGCTCTCTACTTTGTGTACTTTGCCTTTCTTTCACAACTTTATTTTTCATTATTTTTCTCTTGACAAAAGACTCTACAGAGTGAAATCAGAAAAAAAATTAAGTGAGGAAAGTGATTGTGAGCATTTTTGATTTGTTATTTACTCATCAACCTGAAGTATTATGCTGGGAATTAGATTTAATTTAAATATCATGAAATAAAATAAATAACCACTTGACTTATTTTAGCAAATACTGTCTTAAGCAGGATTTGCTAGTCATGTTTCATTAATTGCTTTTTTAATTCTGGGAAGTTGATTGCATTTTTTCTAATACATTATTATAGTGAATATTTTATAATTTTGTAAGCTTTACTTCACATGTTATCTTTTTATTTATTTATTATTTTTATTGTTCTGTTGGGTAAGGATACATTGTGGCATTTATATAAGTTCTCACAATATATCAAATGTATCATACTTGAATTCATCCCTCTATCATTCTCCCTTATCCTCCCTCCCCCCATTTCTGGAATAGTTTCAACAGGTCTCATTTTTCCATTTACTTACATGTGTTTGAAGAAAAACTTACCATTAAACTGTAAGGGAAACTGGCCAGTTATATGCTATAATAGTCATTCAGTACCAGAGATGTGAAAGAAAGAGGGGGGAGGAGAAGAATGAGAAATTTGAAGCTGAAATAGGTCTATTGCACTCAACAAGAAGCAGATTTAATTATGAAAACAAACCCTCTGAGTTATAATTCCATTTTAAAACCAAAGGCTCTCTTTCCCCATTCTTATCCTTAGGACCACAGTAACAACCATCTTAGGGTCGCAGGGACAATGGCCCATGAAATGGGCCACAACCTTGGGATGTTTCATGATGACTATACTTGCAAGTGCCCCTCAGCAGTCTGTGTGATGGAGAAATCAATAAGGTGAGGCTCTCTGGGACACACCCTGTGTTCCTGGTTTTCATCCACTCTGGCATTTGCTGTCCTTTAGGTCATCTTCAACAATATGTCAAGTTTTTTAATTCTGTAGCATAGGAATTTAATTATTTGTTGGTATATCTGTATAACATCATTTAACACTGCTTCTATACATAATTTTAAAAAATTAACTAGGACATAGTGTAAACATTGTCTCTTCACTGTTGGAGCAACTTAGTATTTTATCCTCATCTTATTTGTGCAAGACCTAAAATCAGACAATCTTAGCTTCCATCAGAGTTTCCATGAATTCAGAAAACCTGATGGTCAGGAAGGGGTTTTTGAAAAAAATCTAATTAAAGGAGGAATTTCTCCCAGGAGGATGGAGAAAATCTATGAAAAGAGAGAAAATTTCCAGGCAATCTTATCATTAAAGATTTCATAATTTCTTTTATATTTTCAGTTCCTTTTTTGTATTCTTGTCCCCTAGCCTGCTGAAGGTTGGGTTATTTTCTCATGCTCCTTTACAGAATAGGATAGTGCTTCATGCCAATTATATAACTTGTACTGTTTCTCCCAGATATTATTGCATTTTACAGTCTTCCTTTATTTGTGGGATGAAACGATTGTCAATTGAAATTTATCTGAGGGAACATAAATTCACAGGCATATAAATAAATATGATATTGTTATCTTTAGGACTTCATAACTCCAACTGATCTAAGGCTGAATAAGATTATCTGGATAAGTCAGAAGCATTTTTGGTTTATTAATAATTGTCTGCATACTCCCCTTTGAGATAATGACCGTATTTTCACATTACGCTGGAAGAGCTACATAATATTCACCCAGGTAGATTAATTCCGGCATACAAATGAGCTCATGATGTAGCAGTCGGTCAGTGGATTGGATCTGGTCTTTTGGGGCAGGTTGTAGGTATAATTGTATCCAATCTCTGCATTGCTTCCTAAATGCTAATCCTAATTGTATTCTAATTTCTCCTTCTTATCTTCACAGATTCTATATGCCCTCGGACTTCAGTTCCTGTAGCCGTGACAGCTATGACAAATTCCTTGAAGATAAATTATCAAATTGCCTGTTTAATACTCCATTGCCTACAGATATCATATCCATCCCGATATGTGGGAACCAGGTGGTAGAAATGGGAGAGGACTGTGACTGTGGGACCATTGAGGTACTTCCTTTTCTAAAATGATCTAGTTCATTAATTGCTGAGAAGATAAATTATAAAAGAATATATGGCCCACCATAAAATTTTTTGTTTCTTATAATTTTGGATATGTTTATTGGTAGGCCAGTCTTCCAGACAAGGAACATGCATTGCTTAATTGACCAATCTCTTGTAATCTCTTCCCATCTCTTCATTTTTTAAAATAATTTTTTATTTTATTGGTTTTACATTTACTCACATGTGTATACATTGTTTGGGCCACTTCTTCCCCATCTCCTCCCCCATTGCTAACTTGGGAATTGTGTCCCCATAGCTATCTTTCTGGTGGAAATACTTCAAGTTTCTTAAGTGACTATGATTCATTGAGCATTACTTTGGGTAGAATATAAATAGCTTGCTTGCCCAAGGTCACAGAGCTAACCAGTGGAGGAGCCAAGATCTGGATCCAAGTGTGACTGTTTTTGGGGTCCCAGCACCAGCTGTAACAGGGATCTCACACATCTGTATCACTCAGGGTTCTGAAGTTGTTGACATCGGAAATCTTGCCCTGTTCAGAGGGTGGCTAAGATTCTGAATGGGGCCTTTGTCCCATCTTATGAATACCTAACAAGAATAATGCATTAAGCTGTCAAGGGCTTAGCTTTTCAGTAACTTTAAAAAAAGATAATAATGTATTCATTTCATGAGGAAGAGTATGTTTTATTTGAATAAAGGGCAAGAGTTTTAACCCTTAGATGTAACAACTCTGAAAGTCTTGCTGTAAGGAAAAATTGTGTGAGGTAGGAATTTTCCAGTGCCCTGTGCAGAAAGGGTTCCTAACTTCTCAGAACCAAAGCAGGGAGGCCAAGACAAATCATATTGCTTTAAATAGAATTGAATTAGATATCGATGTTGGATAAAGAACCTGTCTTTAGTTTTACAGTACATATTGTAGAAATAGAATTTACTGCTGTTTAGATACATAACTTATGTGTTGGATCAGTTATGTTATAAAACTACTGAGATGCATTTTGTGTTTGAAAACTGTCCCTTTTGTTTTACTACATATTTTGCCAAGAGGAATAGACTTCTTAAAAAATTAATGTAGGAGGCTGGGGAAAATATTAAATTTTTAAAAATGTAAATAAAATTCACCAGTTGCTCCAGAATAATTTTCTAATATTGTTTTCTTTGATCTTTTATCTCTCTAAAAATCAGTTTTAGAGTCTACTAAAGTTATGCCTGTGTGCTAAATAAATTATCTTTTGAATTGTATGGAAAAAGGATCAAAAAGTAATCTGTCATTTGCATTTGCTCCTGATATTTCTTAGGAATGTACCAATGTTTGCTGTGATGCTAAAACATGTAAAATCAAAGCAGGATTTCAATGTGTGTCAGGAGAATGCTGTGAAAAATGCCAAGTAAGATTGATTCGTTCTATTTCAATAACTATGACTACTTTTTCTATATTAACACCTCGGTGACTGTTAAATGAAATAATCAAAGCAATATCTTTCTTTCTATAAAATAACATTAATCAAGTTCTCAGTGAGTGCTGTACACACACACACAAGCATATATATATATATATATATAACCTGTTTAGTCTCTCAACCACAATGCAATAAGGTGGGCCTCATTATCTTATTTTGCTTTTGATGGAATGGAGGCTCACAAGAGAAAATGTGAAAATTGATATGGCTACTATTTGTGATAATTGGGATGATCCTGGAGGACATTTTGTCAACTGAAATAAGCCAGACACAGAAAGATAAATAAATACCACATGATCTCATGCACATGTGGAATCTAAAAATATTTAATATACTGACACAAAGAGTAGAACCAGGGGTGGGGAGATGGGGGAAATGGGAAGATGTTGAGCAAAGGGATATAAAGTTGTGGTTCTGTAGGATGAGTGAAGCTAGAGAGCTAATATGCAGCAAAGTGTAGGTAATAATTCTGTAGAGCAGATTGGAAATTTGCAAAGAGCAGTTCTTACTACACACACACATGTGCACACACACAGTCACTAAGTGAGATGGTGGATGTATTGACTTCCTTGACCAAAGTAGTTATTTCACTCTATATGTGCTCACTGAAACATTGTATTATACACCTTAAAAATCTACAGCTACATTTTTTCAAAAATAGATAACATGTTCACCATCCAATGGGAAAACCCCACACATGACCTACTTCAAAGCCAATGTTAGTTACTCCTGTCTGTTTCTTCATTTCACACTGCATGTCCATGTTGGCCAAATCTCGTGAAACTGATTGCATCCATCTTCAATATCTGCATCTGGTGGAAAGTTTTAATTTTGAATAGTGTGGGGGAACTTCTGTCTTCATCTTTGAAGCCACTTCAGGATGAAATTCTTAGAAGTAAGATGCCGTTTTTTTTCTGTGAGGCTTTTTTGACTTTTCCTATAGAGTTTAGTATTTTCCCTTCTTCTGTTGCATATAATTCCATATTGTGGTCATTTGCTGGTGTGTTTGTCTTCTTGGCAGGATTGAATCCTGAGGGCAGAAAACAGATTCATCTTTGCCTCGTGCAAATTATTATGCATCATAAATATTCAATAACTGTTCACAGAATTAATTTGTACACAACATACCAGGTTATAAGTAGTATTAGTAAATATTTTTTAATGCCAGAGGGAGAGAAAAGAAATTGAAAAAGATCAAAAGGAAGCAAACATAAGAACTTAAGTAGTATTCAGCAAATGTTTATTACATACTATGTTGTGTTGGAGATTAAATACACAGTCAGTCTCTCATCTCAAAGACCTTGCTATTTGTTGCATTAGGGCAATCATACACACACAGGAATCAGATGAAAATATAATGTATAATTAGATTGTATTCATAATATGATATGTATATTTTCCATACATACTTTTACTTAATTTTTCACAATGACCTTGTAAAGAGAATGTTAGATGAGGAAATGAATTTGCAATGAGATTAAATCCATTTTCTTTAGTTAAACACCCAGAAACAGACAGACCCAACATTAACATCACTAAATGTAAATTTATTGCTCCGGCCCACCATGTGTAGTAAACAAGAGCATCAATTTGCATTGACAAGGTCAGAGGAGTCTTCCTGGGAAAGGAGGCTATGAACTTACCTGGCTGGGGGCGAGGGAGGGGGTAAATGGATTTTGGATTATGATTTAAACAAAAAGGGACAGAATTTCCAAATGATGATATAAGAAGAGCTAGGAAGGTAAAGTATGGTTTTTATGGGAGCTAGTAGGAAAACCAATCTGAATGGAGCAATGGGAATTGAATTTGAAGGATCTGGTGCTCCCATTTCGGTCTGGGTTTGATCCTGTAACTGGCACAGACAGGAAGCTTTCTTTTCTAGGGAAAGATATGCTTCCTTAGATTCACATGACTGGCAGAGCTTGTTTCTCTGAGGTAGTAAGAGCAAGATTTACAGTAATACATTGCCACAGAGTTAATATATTACTGAGTGTTTGGTTATTTTTTTCTCCAAGATGAATCAGTCCATAGGAAGAAGTGAGTTGAAAAGAAATATCTGAACATACAATAAAAGGAATTAAAACTTGGGAAACTTGATGCCTGGGAAAATCTCCTGATCTGGTGTTTGTAAAACTATCTTCTGTCATACAGGGAATTCATTTCACCAGTAAACCCCAACAGACTTAAATCTTTTTGAAAGTTTCCACAAAGGTGCATACAACAAAAGAAGAAATAACTTCCTTCTCTACATTTGAGATGTTTCTTTGTTTCTCTCTGAACTTTTCCACTTTATATTTCCTTTGTGTTTACACTACAAATTCAAAATATCACTTAAAGACTTAGGTATTGTCCAACATCAATAGAAGTGATATAAGGCATCACTTTAATGTACACAGTACAGATATAAATTGGACTAAAATTACGCTCAAAAAAAGGACAAAAGGAAAATACGATTTGTGTTCATTTGAGGTATTAGGGCAAAGAAGGTGGACAAAAGCCTTCTCTCTATTTCTGTTTTCCTGCAGATTAGAAAGGCCGGGAAGGTATGCAGAGCAGTGAGACATGAGTGTGACCTGCCTGAAATGTGTGATGGTAAATCTAGTCACTGTCCTGGTGACAGATTCAAAGTCAATGGCTTCCCTTGCCAAAACGGAAGGGGCTACTGTTTGATGGGGAAATGCCCCACACTGGAGCAGCAGTGCGTGGATATGTGGGGCTCAGGTAGGAGATCAACTCCTCTCACCATGCCCATGCAAAGAAAAATCATTCTGGTGGCAGTTGGGATCATGGCCAAAGGAGCAATCGCTTCCATTCTTCTCAGAAACTGTCCTACCTAAAGTCATGGACGAGCACATTTTAGACAAGAAGATTAGAGTTGTTATATTAAGCAAGTAAAGATACTGATGGCACAGCTAAGTTTTACATTCAGATTAACAACTTTTTTTAGTATTAATTTGACCGTGCAGTATTTGACATATATTTCTGCTAAAAAAAAATCTTTGTTTACCAAAATTTAAATTAAACTGGAGATCCTGCATTGCACCTGGCAACTCTAAGGAAGATTCCTCTCAGATAAGTAAACCCTTGGAAGTCTGTGTGTGCTCACATGTGGAGGGGATGACCAGGAACAAGGCAAGGGGGAGAAAAGACAAGGATACTGGGAATGCAAGAGTGTAATGAAGAAATATGGAGACTGTTGAATGGTCATTTTGTCCACTGGAATTTTAGTGACCACATTCTATTAAACCATAATGAAGACCTTGAAAATAAAGTACAATTTAAAGATCTCCAAAAACTTTAGACTGAAATTTGAATTTTGTGAAACAGTGGAGTGTTCTCACTTACATGTGAAATGGAAAAAAAAATTGAACTCAGAAGTAGAGAGTAGAAATGTGGAGCCTGCAGAGGCAGTAGGGAGAGAGGTTGGTCAAAGGTCACAAAATTCTAGGGAAAAAAAGGAAGACAATTTTTACAAAACAGCTATTTGAAATTCTTGAATATGATGTGTAGTTCATTTAATTGTTACTGCTTTTTCTGCCACACTTTCAAATTTTTACTTACATGGCTGAAGGACATTTATTCAAAATGAGAAAAAGTTACATATTTCTAAAAATATTTGAAAAGGCTCATTATATGCCAAAAATGTTCATAAATTCTTTTTTAAAAATTCCATAATTTTATATGCCTAAATCAAGATTAAGGAAAGAGATTTAAACAAATCCCTGAAACATCCCCCAAAAGCAAGACACCTCAAGATCCTGCAAAAATCCCTAAATAAAACTCTCATATCTAGCAAGAGTAGGCTAAGACACAGTTTGAACAAAGCTCAATGTCAGTCATGTAACAGGAAGTGCACTGATTCCTGCAATCCTGCTGACACTTCCACTAAGGAGAGAAACAAAATTGGTTTTGCTGGTTCAAGACCTCACACTTCCTTGGGGAACTTCATTATATACAAAACCCTGGGGAAAGAAAATCTTTAGCACAGAAGTCAAGCTCAGAAAATCTTCCTTATGATCTGGTGATAAATGATTGTGATAAATGATTGTGATAAGTGTCAGCAAACACCTTCTTTTGCCTAACTATATTACCTGTCTTCATGACAAATCTGTAAATTCCTAGAACAGGGACATGGTTTTCCACACTTGTAGTCTAGCACCTGATCTTAGCAAATGTTCAAAATAATCTTTTGAATTACATGGAATGTATTTATCTTATAGTGCACAGGGGAAGACCTTTTAAATCATACATTTAAAGGCAGAGAAAAAACTGCCTTTTATTTGTGATCTTTTATAATTCATAAAAGATCACAAATTTATTTGAAATTAATCTGAAAAGTTTTCAACATATATAATAATTTAAGAAATCACCTTTTTTGGCATCAAATCATTCCTACAAATCAATTGAAATTCCAAGTACTGAAAATGTGGTCAAAGAAGGTTGGATACATTAAATGTATTTTCAAAATGCAATATTTTCAACTTAACAGGGGTTTGTCAGAATATAACCCTATTGTAAGTTAGAAGCATGTGTATGTAAAAACCTCATCAAGGAAGCATCCCCAAACTTTTTAATTAATAGGACATCAAACATTCTGCCCTTTGACATTTATTGAACTCTTGGTTGAAATAAATTGTTTGTGATGGAAAAAAAATAGAAAATGTGGTCAAGATGAGGAAGCCATTTAATTAAGATGAAGAAATACAAGAGTCCAATAAAGAATAAAATCATATTAATTCACTAGCAGTGTAAGAAAATGTGACTAGAAACAAGTTAATCTTCTGTATTTGTGAGCCCTAACAATGATACTCAGAAATATTAAAAATTTTTCTGCTAGCATTTTTTAATGTTAGTGAATAATTGGGAATAAGAAACTCAAAGCCAAATCAGTCACAGTTTACAAACCCAATATAATACTTATAGCTATTATGTTATAGAATATTTAGTGCCTAGAGAAAAGATAGACATTATTAAGTGGGGAAGAGAAAGTCAAGAAGCAGCATGATGACTGGACATGGTCTTACCCACTGTAATCCCCACTGCTTGGGAGGCAGAGCCAGAAGGACTTCATTGCAAGGCTGGCTTGGGCAAAAGCACAGCTCTATCTAAAGAAAGAAGAGCTGGGGCATGGCCTCACGTGGTAGCTTTTTCACTTGCCTACCAAGCGCGAGGCCCTGAGTTCAATCCTTTGTGCTGCCAAAAAAAAAAAAAAAGAATGATACCAGATGTATAAGTGAGTGATGACATTTTTATATTATTAGCAACAATGACTCAGAAGTTTGAAATTAGGAATATAGAGCTTTTCCTTATTATTCTTGCCTCACTATTCTTTTTAAATGTATGTATTTATTATCATTGTTATAAGAAGTCAATAAATGTTACTAAGATTTAAGTAACCAAGAAAATATAGCAACATAACTAATTTTATTACTTTTTTTCTTGAAACATGAAATTCACTTAAAATGATTTGAGTTTATAAATCAATATGACAGGTTTAATTTTTATTGAAAACAATATCATCACAGGCTTCTGCTTACTTTAATCTAGTTTGTAATTCATCAAAGATTTATTCAGAGTTTCCCAGTGTTTAAGAAAGAGTTGTTTGTTGATGGGTAGGAAGGGCAGCCCAGCACAGAGCACATGTACAGGTCCCTGACACAGATAGAATTGGGTGTGAAGTTGGTTTTTTCATTTCTCTCTGGCACTTAATATGATTTTCAATTTTCTTATTGATAAAATGAGAATGACAATGTGAATGGCTTGCTGCACATGTATCCTTTTATCTGATCCTCTCATCCCCGCCCCGCCCCGAGGCAGGAGCTGTTACATATATCCTCACTGTACGGAGGAGCAAACCCAGAGATGAAGACTCTTGCCCCAGTTCACACAGCTGCCCAGTCTTGTTTAAAGCCTGAGCTCTTAACGGCTATGCTGTGTGCCCATCTGAAAGGAATCTGAGGATAATTACATAAGAAATTAAAATGGGAAATGTTTGTCACCGGCCTGGCACTTAGGAAGAATCTGAACAGAACTGGCAGTTGCAGGGCAGCACATTATGTTTTAGCTAATGTTTTCAGCTCTTCTGGCCAAGTCTTCAGATTTAGATCAATTTTTAACCTCCAGGAACTCATGCAGACACTCCCAAATATTTAGATAGCCAGCTTCCAACAGCAAAATATTTATTTATTTATTTATTAGAAATTTTGTAATGTGTTTTTTTAATTTTTTTATTCATTTATTCACATGTGCATACATTGTTTGGGTTATTTCTCTCACCTCACCCGCACCCCTCTCTCTCCCTCCCGCTCTCCCCTCACTTCCAGGCAGAATCTGTTCTGCCCTTATCTCTAATTTTGTTGAAGAGAGAGTAGAAACAATAATAAGAAAGACAAAGCATTTTTTCTAGTTGAGATAAGGACAGCTATACAGAGAGATTCCTAGAATTGCTTCCATGCACAAATGTGCCAAAAACAAAATATTTAAAAGGTTATTTTATTTATTTATTTATTTATTTTTGCAACAACACAGCTAGCATCAATTTATTTTTCCTTTACAATTTCACAGGTTGAAGATTCTTTCTTTTCTTTTTTTTTTTTCATTTTTCTTTTATTATTCATATGTGCATACAAGGCTTGGTTCATTTCTCCCCCTGCCCACCCTCCCTTACCACCCACTCCGCCCCTCCTCTCCCCCCCAATACCCAGCAGAAACTATTTTGCCCTTATTTCTAATTTTGTTGTAGAGAGAGTATAAGCAATAATAGGAAGGAACAAGGGTTTTTGCTGATTGAGATAAGGATAGCTATACAGGGCATTGACTCACATTGATTTCCTGTGCGTGGTTGTTACCTTCTAGGTTAATTCTTTTTGATCTCACCTTTTCTCTAGTACCTGGTCCCCTTTCCTATTGGCCTCAGTTGCTTTAAGGTATCTGCTTTAGTTTCTCTGCGTTAAGGGCAACAAATGCTAGCTAGTTTTTTAGGTGTCTTACCTATCCTCACCCCTCCTTGTGTGCTCTCGCTTTTATCATGTGCTCATAGTCCAATCCCTCTGTGTTTGCCCTTGATCTAATGTCCACATATGAGGGAGAACATACGATTTTTGGTTTTTGAGCCAGGCTAACCTCACTCAGAATGATGTTCTCCAATTCCATCCATTTACCAGCGAATGATAACATTTCGTTCTTCTTCATGGCTGCATAAAATTCCATTGTGTATAGATACCACATTTTCTTAATCCATTCGTCAGTGCTGGGGCATCTTGGCTGTTTCCATAACTTGGCTATTGTGAATAGTGCCGCAATAAACATGGATGTGCAGGTGCCTCTGGAGTAACAGTCTTTTGGGTATATCCCCAAGAGTGGTATTGCTGGATCAAATGGTAGATCGATGTCCAGCTTTTTAAGTAGCCTCCAAATTTTTTTCCAGAGTGGTTGTACTAGTCTACATTCCCACCAACAGTGTAAGAGGGTTCCTTTTTCCCCGCATCCTCGCCAACACCTGTTGTTGGTGGTGCTGATGATGGCTATTCTAACAGGGGTGAGGTGGAATCTTAGCGTGGTTTTAATTTGCATTTCCTTTATTGCTAGAGATGGTGAGCATTTTTTCTGGCCATTTGAATTTCTTCTTTTGAGAAAGTTCTGTTTAGTTCATGTGCTCATTTCTTTATTGATTCATTAGTTTTGGGAGAATTTAGTTTTTTAAGTTCCCTATATATTCTGGTTATCAGTCCTTTGTCTGATGTATAGTTGGCAAATATTTTCTCCCACTCTGTGGGTGTTCTCTTCAGTTTAGAGACCATTTCTTTTGGTGAACAGAAGCTTTTTAGTTTTATGAGGTCCCATTTATCTATGCTATCTCTTAGTTGCTGTGCTGCTGGGGTTTCATTGAGAAAGTTCTTACCTATACCTACTAACTCCAGAGTATTTCCTACTCTTTCTTGTATCAACTTAAGAGTTTGGGGTCTGATATTAAGATCCTTGATCCATTTTGAGTTAATCTTGGTATAGGGTGATATACATGGATCTAGTTTCAGTTTTTTGCAGACTGCTAACCAGTTTTCCCAGCAGTTTTTGTTGAAGAGGCTGCTATTTCTCCATCGTATATTTTTAGCTCAAAAGGTTATTTTAAATGTCAGCCTGCTCCTCTGATATGAAGTTGTTGCAACTTGTGTTTCTGAGAATGATTGATGGAATTATGCCAAAATAGTACAGGTTGAGTGTACCTAACATGAATGTGTTAGATTTAAAGTGGTCCAAAATTATTTCAAGAGGGGCTATGATGCCACCAGTAGAAAATTTTGCACCTGACCTCATGTGATGAGTCACAGTCAAAACGTAAGTGCACTAAAAATATTGTATAAGATTGCCTTCAGGCTCTGTGCATAAAGTATATATGTGAAGCAAAAGAATTTCTTGCTTCAACTTGGCTACCATTCCCAAGATATCTCATTACACATATGTAAATATTACCAAATCTGTAAAAAGCAGTTGAAACCCCAAACTGTTCTGGTTGCAAAGATTTTTGAATAAGGGAAATTCAAACTGTACTTTTCATAGTAGTTTTATGTTTTATTATTCCTTTGCATGATTAAATTTCTTATTTCTTTTCTCTTCAAATATGTCCCTGTCTGTGCCTATTGTCAGGAACCAAAGTTGCAGAAAAGTCATGCTACCACAGCAATGAAAACAGATCAAAGATCGGGTATTGTCACATGGTGAATAACACACGCATTCCTTGTAAAGCAAAGTAAGTGACCTCGTTGCTTGATGTTCCATGTTTTCAGCTATTTGCTGACTCTGAAAAAAAGTACAGATCAGAAATTATCTCTTCCTGTAAGCTGCTCATGGTGAGTGCTGCAGGTGGTACGCAGTACAGTTGTGAATGGAGTAAGATGGATTTTAGAGATGGCCCTTGCAACACTGCATGGGCCTGGTTGAAAATTTCCCAGTGGACTTGAGATACTTTTTCAGTCTACTGCTTTTTCATTATGGGTCTTGGGATAGAAATATTCATTTACCCAGAGGACCAATCAATACAGGGCATGTACAGTTTTATTTAAATTTGCCATGGAGCTACATGAAGAAAAGACACTGTAAGACAAAAGACTTGACAAATCACCTAAAGAGCTTGTTTTATTTTTAGTACTGATATCCTGGAAGAATTATAAAATACCATATCAGATTAATTTGAGATTTTTCTATCCAATTTTTATTCTGCACTTTAAAACAACCTTTAAAATTCAAGTTATTATAGATTAAATTTTTACCTGTTCCAAATTTTATACAATGTAATTGATAACAGCAGGTTGAACAAAATCAGCATTTCCCAAAGTTTTTCTACTGAATACTGATGTTGCTGGGTAACAAATATTATCAGATTATAGTTTGAATATAGGGTCATCTCTCAGGGGAATCTGGGCCTAAAGGACAAATCACATAGTGTGGTTTGTCCTTTATAGGAATCAGGGCAGATTCAAAAGGGAGAAATTTTGTAAAAGGCAATATAACAGGGACAGGAGAAGGGCAATGCATAGAAGAAAGTAGGGTAGGTTCAAGTGTCTCCTTCACCCTCAGATTAACCTCCTAGTCACTTCTCAATAGTCACTGACCATAGGAGAGCTACTCTGAAATTCCAAGTGCCTTGGACCATCCTTATATGACTCTGCCAATGATTCAGGAATAACATCCTCTCAAGATTAGATAGGATGTATGTCTTCTTCCACTTGTCATTCACATTTTTTCACAGTCACCAGCGACATTAGAAAAATTTGATTCCACCACTTTCCTGTCACAGTCCTCCTTTGAATTATGTAAAACACATTTTGACTCAATTTTATTGGTTTTACTTTACTTCCATTTTGGGAGGAAAATGAATGGTACACCTGAGCATTGAGCCATTTAATCTGCAGACACAGAGAAACACTTCTCTTAGTAATCCCAGTTAATGCCTTGAAGGGGGACCCAGCTATGTTCAAGCAAACTATAGTTGAATTGAGGATTTTATCTGTTAGAAATATTCTGCTGAATGTCATAAAAACAAATATCATCACTGCCTTAGGTGCCTCAGGATGCTTGGAAACTATCTTCTGTGTGTTGTCTGTTTAGCTTCTTCCTATATATGATCTCCATTCCCAAGAGTTTCTCTTGGTCTGTGATGGCTTTTCTAGCTCTAGATATCACATTCCTATCATCAAAAAGGAGAAAATACAGAGAAAAAGATATAATGTGAGACCATCTTCTAGATTTGGATTTAAAATCCTGTTTCATTCTTATTGGTCAGAACCTAGGTAACTGGCAGAGATTACTGTACAGAGATCTGGAACATGTGTTTATTGGGGTAGCAATGTATTTCGCTAATATTCAAGGGTCCTATTGCTGAGGGATAATGGGAAATGGATATAGCTAAGGGAACAAGTATTTTTCATTAAGGACTGATAAGACACAGAGCTGATCTGCACTTATATAAAATGTACCTTGAATTGCACAATAAATTTTGGCTTTTTCCTCAGAGACATCATGTGTGGGAAGTTGTTCTGTCAAGGTGGGTCACGTGATTTGCCTTGGAAAGGATTTACAGTATCTATCCTGACTTGTAAAATGTTTGATCCTGAAGATACTAGCCAAGGAATAGGGATGGTGGCCAATGGAACAAAGTGTGGAAATAGCAAGGTGATTAAAATTGTGGCTTTCATTCAAAATAATGTTTTTAGCCTTGTTCTTTGGGTTGTGTTTTGTTTTGCTTCTCAGTTATTCACTTGCTACTTTGTTTCCAAACTATTGGGTTCATCATGCCTTAGTACAACAACTAGGGATTTTAATTTGGAACACTATGAGGATTTAGGAAACGAGGATAGAGACCCTAGTGAATAGCAAGAGCACGACTGTCATATCTTCAAACATTAGGGTGAAATTTGGAAATAATCACTCTTACAGATATGATTCCAAGAAAACTAAGATATTATGCTGGTAACACATAACCAGCATCTTTTACTTTCTTAGCTTTAGTCTGGAAACTCACTGAAAGTGCCTATAGACATCTTACGTAGCTCTACCAATGATCCATGAAAAACACCCTCTCAAATTTGTTTAGGTTGGTTTAACTAAGGGAACACCATGAACAACAGAGTTCATGTCCATTTCTCTCCCCTTGCACCTCTTCTACCACATTTACACAATAAAGAAGAGTATGTATCTTTTCCTTCTCCGACGAGAATTTCAGGACAGAGCCATTTAGACAACATTTGTTACCCTCTCTCATCATCCTGCAGAGATGATATAAGGACCTGTATTTCTTTATTCAACACTTAGTTGCTTAAATTACTACTACTGGTTATAAAACTTCCCCTCTTTTTCTTCTCAATAACAAATCCTTCCCCTAAATCATTATCACAGGTATATAATTGAGTTTTGATTTTTCAATATTTCTTTTCTTTCTGCTTTTTTGGTGGTACTGGGTTTTGAACGCATGATTTCAGGCTTTCTAGGAAGGCACTCTACCAGTTGAGCTATGCCTCCAAGTTATTGCTTTGGTTATTTTGGACATAGGGTCTTGCTTTTGGCCCAGGCCAGCCTGGACCACAATCCTCCTATTTTATGCTTCCCACTGTTACTGGGATGACAGGTATGTACCACCACACTCAGCTTTTTCCCATTGAGATGGAGTCTTGCGAACTTTCCTGCCTGGTCTGGCCTAGAACTACAGTCCTCCCTCTCTCAGGCTCCAAAGTAGCTAGGATTACAGGTCTGAGGCACCAGCGCCAGGCTACAGTATTTTTTCTTATGACCCCTGTAATTACAATTCATATGCTACATCAGGATGTTTCAGGCTGTAGAGGCTCAGAAAAACCAACTCAAATTGACTTGCACAATTAGGACATTGATTAATTCACACAACCAAAGTACATAGTTAATTCAGTGGTACCAGATCACCACTTTTTCTCTTTGTCCCCTGCTGTCTCCAGAATGCTACTATGCCCATTCAGGCTGCTGTACTCATGGTCCAGGGTTCCTGCCCAATCCCCAGGCAAAACGCAGAGGCAGAAGGCACCAGGTTTTCCTTGTGCAACTTAAGAATGAAGAAATTTTTCTCATAAGCATTTTCTGGCCAAATTAACATCGGCTTTTATTGCCCCAAATTTTACCATTTACCCATTCTAAACCAATACCTGTCAAGAGACAAGGAAAGACCATGATTGACCTATGGGTTTTTTAATTTACCCTTGGGACTAGGGAAAGCCTCAGTCACCCTGGGAAGCACATAAGGACCCAACATATTAATAAAGTCGGATGTCTGCAGCAAACACCACCATCTGCTATGAATGTCACACAATTAGAATTACCAATAGCAACATTTGGATTTTTAATGCTGAAATTTTCACACTTTTAACAGTGGAACATTTTATTCAAATGAAATTACATGGGAAGCCAAAATACACAAAAATGGATAAAAGAAAGGTGCTCTGATGAAAATGGGCTGTGGGAAGGGTACCAAACTCCAAGCCTATGACTGCTGCTTTGTGTTCCATGGAACACAGTACTCAAAATAATGCTTTTACCCTTCATTTATACATGGCTGCAACTCATTCCTCCACTTGTACTTCATCATGTGCTTAGCACAAGGGTGTCACAATTCATAAATTTTAGTGTTATAGAATTGTTGCAAAAATCATCAGGTCCCATCTTCCTCTTTCAAAAAATACTGTGATTTTCCTAATAAAAAAAGTGAAATTGGGGCTGACAGCATGGCTCAAGTGGTAGAGTGCCTGCCTAGCAAGCGTGAGACCTTGAGTTCAAACCTCAGTATTAAAAAAAAATGAAATTGGTAACAATAACCGTGACTAAAAGTTTATGTTTTTTCATGTCACTTTCAGGTATGCATTAATGCAGAGTGTGTGGACATGGAGAGGACCTACAAGTCAACCAATTGCTCTGCTAAGTGCAAAGGACATGCTGTAAGTTTTGAAAGTAAGGGTTCCCAAGCCTGCTGAATTCTGTATGACTTTTGGTCAGTTATGATGAAGCTGAGTAAAGCCTTCACCGTCCATTCAGTGATCACAATTATTAAGTTTATTCAACTCTCAGTAGCATAGAATATGGGAAATTTCTTCTGAGAACCCATTATGGAATTCCCTGTGATTTGTGCATACCTTATGTAGGCAGATGACAATTGGCAGAGCAGGGGCCATTCCTCTTTCAAAATGGGGTTTCTTGTGGATGAGTAGGACCTGGGAGTGTGTGGTCAATCTACTGGGAAACTCACAGGACCTTTGCTCCTCCAGGTGTGTGACCATGAGCTACAATGCCAGTGTGAGGAAGGATGGGCCCCTCCTGACTGTGATGACCCCTCTACGGTCTTCTGTAGGTAGCACTACACAGGAACATGAGAAAATGGCTTTCCTCTTTCAAATTTTTATTCTGAATCATAGAGAGTCTCATTGTCTCTGTACTATCTTCATCAAATTCCTCTCAATAGCTTTTGAATACACAACATTGATTCCCCATCATCTCTTTTTAATCATATTTAAAAATCAACTTTTTAATCATATTTTCACATTCTTATCTTTTTATTCCACATACTAAAATATACCCTCAAATTTTATATTTGTAGTGTTGTTTTAATTTCCCAAATTTCCTTGCTTTATGATTGCTCCATTTTCATAGCAGTCTCTACTTAATGAGTAGGTAAAATAAACCCATGAAACTCTCTGAGAATATAATTTAGATTACCTTTGTAGGTTCTGTTTTTTTCTGTTCTCTGAGTAACAGCTAGTTGTTTTCAGGTTGGCTGTCCTGTTCTTGTATTTCACTGTACTGTTTTTCTTCAAGATTGTGTGATCCTTGTTGAACTAGGGATGAATTTGACTTGAATTGGTTTTCTTTGCATTTTTGTGTGCTTGTTCTACTAACTGGATACTTTGTGATCTTGTTGGGAGTTCTATTAGTGGACAGACAAGCCTTTGTACAGGTCATCAGCATGGGAAAAAGCCAGAGTGGGCACCCTCAACTCTAAGTGGCATGGTTAGGAGTACTTTACTATAAGGAGAAGCTGCTTTTTCTCAGCACTCCTTCCTTGACTCTCTCCCCTCTGTCTAATCAATGTGGCTGTCTGGAGCCTGCCTCTGTCATGCTCCTACTTCATGTCTTATTGTCTCTGTAGAGCAATTTTGGGGGCTTTGTCTTAGGGTCATAAACCAATCTTATTCTTTACACACAGAAAACAGAGATGGGGAAAATGGATAGGGATGGGTTTGAGTGATCTATTTGTGCCAAATTCAGATCCTTTGTTAGGCTTTCCAAAAAAAAAATGCTATTCTTACTTCTGATGTCTAAGCTATTATTTACTGTTACTGTCTAACCAAGGCCCTTAACTTCCTATTTTTCTGAAAGGTAGAAAAATTCTTAATTTTTGTCTTTTATTCCACACATGCACACACACACCATTTAGTATTTATCATACATTTGTAGAGGGTAGGGGTGGCTGCATAACAAAATAAGCCACTTAGAAAAAACTCTGTAGTGGTTTCATTGTTCACTAAAAATCCTTTTAGATAACAACTTTCCTTTTTTTGGAGACTTTATTTTGATTTATCTGTTGATTTGCTAAATTTCCTCCATGAGTAATTGCTTCTTTCAGGAAGATTGTGCCTGTATTAAACTTTCTGAGCTGCATTTATTATAATTTATTTCTGTTACTAAATATTTCTCTTAATATTCTGTTATCAAGGAATGAAAAGCAGGTTTGATTGGATTGGGATTTTTAAATCACAGTGTTACTTTCTTAACTATATAGAAGTATATGTTGATTTATTTTTATTATTGCTATCCATAGTCAGCAGCACACCAGAACTTACACCTATCTGTCACTTACCCCTACCCTCTCTCTGACCCTCCCAGCCTCAGGTGACCACCATCCCACCGCGCCACATATTTCTTAATGAAAATGGGAATTTTCTGCTTGCTGTGAAATTAATTCTTAGAATAATTATAGAGCAATTAGAGAAATACTGTGTGGAGAATATGGTGAAATTTGTTAAGACTTGCTTTCTGGCTCAGCACATGCCCATACTTTCCATGCATGAACCAAAAAAATGTGCATTTGTGTTCTGTTCTGTTCTCCATGTGTTCTGTTCACCAGGTTGGTCAGTAGTACGACCCGTATATTGATCCCTACTGATACTTTGTTTCTTATTCTATCAGTTACTATGCAGAAGTATTAAAATACCTACTATAAATGTGAATTTGGCTCTTACTTTGCTTCTGTAAGTGTTTGTATAATTTGAGCTGTATTATCAACCACATACAAGTCACACAAGTATACAATCGCTATGTGCTCCCAGTGAATTAATTCTTCTATCATTATGAAATGATGATGTGTTTATCTCTAGTTTCACTCCTTGTCTTTTAAAATTTGCATTTTTGGAGACTTAGATGAACCATATTTCCCTGTATGTGTGTAGTAGTGTAAAATTTCACCATAGTTTTGTTTTCATCCTTTCTGAATCCTCTTTAAATTTGTCTCTTACCTAAAAATGCATTTTTAAGATAAACATCTTTTTTTGTTTTGTTTTAAAAATGAACTCAGTAGTCAGTACATTTAATTTTAATGCAATTACTATTGTACTTAGATACAAATCTACGAATATAATATAGTCTTGATTTTTCTTTCCTTTTCTTTTTTTTAAAATTCATTTATTCCATGTGCATACATTATTTAGGTCATTTCTCCCCCCTGTTCCCATCCTCTCCCCCCACCCCTCCTCGCTTCCAGGCAGAACCTGTTCTGCCCTTATCTCTAATTTTGTTGAAGAGAAGACATAAACAATAATAAGAAAGACAAAGCGTTTTTGCTAGTTGAGTTAAGGATAGCAATACAGAGAGATTCCTAGCATTGCTTCCATGTACAAATGTGTTACAACCCAAGTTGATTCATCTCTCACTGATCTTTACACTGGTTCCTGATCCCCTTCTCATGTTGACCTCTGTCGCTTTAAGGTTCTGTATTAGTTTCTCTGGAGTGGGGACATCAAATGCTTTCATGTTTTGGGTTTTCTACCTATTCCTATATCTCCTGTATGTGCTCTCTGCTTGTCATGTGACCCAAGTTCATCCACATTGCTGTATTTGCCCTAGATCTAAAGTCCACATATGAGGGAGAACATACGATTTTTGGTCTTCTGAGCCTGGCTAACCTCACTCAGAGTGATGTTCTCCAGTTCCATCCGTTTACTTGTGAATGATAAGATTTCATTCGTCTTCATGGCTGAGTAAAATTCTATTGTGTATAAATACCACATTTTCTTAATCCATTCGTCAGTAGTGGGGCATCTTGGCTGTTTCCATAGCTTGGCTATTGTGAATAGCGCTGCAATAAACATGGGTGTGCAGGTGGCTCTGGAGTAACCTGTGTCACAATCCTTTGGGGATATCCCCAGGAGTGGGATTGCTGGATCATATGGCAGGTCTATGTTTACATTTTTAAGAAGCCTCCATATTTTTTTTCAGAGTGGTTGCACTAGCTTGCATTCCAACCAGCAGTGTACAAGAGTTCCTTTTTCCCCACATCCTCACCAACACCTGTTGGTGGTGTTTTTGATGATGGCTATTCTAACAGGGGTGAGGTGGAATCTTAGTGTGGTTTGATTTGCATTTCCTTTATTCTCTTTCCTTTTCTATGTTCCTTTTTTCTTCTCTTTTTGGCTTTCTATGAACTATTGACTCTTTTAATCGCTCTATTTTTCTTCTTATTAATTCAGAGGTCATGAATTTATTTTGCATTCTTTTAGTGGTTATCCTAAAAACTTACTTCTACTTTGATTGCTTTTTAAAAATGATTTTATTTTTAGAGCAGTTTTAGCTTCATAGAAAATTGAGCAGAAAGTACAGAGCATTCTCTTATACCCCCTGCCACTCCATAAACTATAAACACCCTATACCAGGGTGATAGGTTTGTTATAATCAATAGACCTACACGGACACCTCACTATCGCCCAAATTTCGTACTCCACATTAGAGTTCTCTTGGTTTATTTGTTCTTCATTCCTTTCTGTATTTCTGATCTCTCTCTCTCTCTCTCTCTCTCTCTCTCTGTCATGGGAATTGAACCAAGGACCTTGCAGATGCTAACAAGTACCTTTATTCCAAGTCCTTTGCATTTCTGAACTTCTGTGTGGGATTGTTTGATTTTTTGTCTTTCTAGATTCATACTGTCTTGCTAATTTCTACAAAGAAATTTTTCTCTTTTTTTTTAGTACATGCTTTTAAGAAGTTTCTGATTTGACAAAATTTTAATTTCGTTTACAATGGGAAGGTTGAGTCAAATTTTGTAGCGCACCATTACCAGAAGCAGACGAGGCTAGATTTACTCTGCAATTATCTCCATCTTAAATCTCATACCTATTTCCTGTTGCTACATTTCTTTCTGTTCTAAGCCCCAACTTTACCTCCAGACAATGTTTCTTCAAATTAGAGGTGTTTGTGAAGCACTGACAATTTTCCCTTTAGCTCCTCTGATATGTTGCTCTTCTGAAAATACAGTTACAATTCTGTTTTAGTTCAAGTACTTTTTTTCATTCTGAAAGTGTCTAAGCTGTTTGTAAAGACATGTTTTATTTTCCTATGACTGTTTGCAAAATAATTTTTATGGAAGATGGAGAGAATGATGTATTTGAACTGACAACATTGTCTTACCTAGAATTCTGCTGGTGATGTAGTTACCTCTGTCTGTCTCTGGACTCACACTTGTGAACTTTTCTTCCATTTATATAACAATTTATTGGGTCTCTAGTTTGCTAATGTCTGTAACAAGAACAATAACTTCAGGTTTAAACCTCCTGGTCTCTTGTGGTTTTAGATTGTTATAAGAAAAATGAATATTTGAGATAGCAAAAGATTGAATGAAGTTATATTCAATACTTACACAAGAAGATAAAAGAGAAAAAGTAAAACTATCATCTATACCAGGAATATTCGTTCAAACTATTCCCCAGTGCACAGGGTCACATAACTTCTCCACTGTCCACAATAATTCCAATATAGAGCAAATAAAACTCTTAGTTTTGATTCTATCAATTCTCTTAGTGTCTCAGCTTCTTATTCGCTACTAAGAGAGATATATTTCAAGGCTTCATTTTCTTTTGTTTGTTTCATTTCAGGGCAGTGTTTCAAAAGCTTTTCATTCTTGCTCTTCCATCTGTCCTACTCCATCTTCTCTTCTAGACTCCAGCCCTTCAGCTTCCCATAATTGTAAACATTATCACTTCAAAGAATTCTTAATAGTATGATGCTTTACCTATCTCCTATTAGATGTTGCCTATAAATTTCTCCTTTATTTCCTCTTTATAAACATTAACACATAATCACAATCCAATATATTTCCAGTTTACTGGCTGTGAGAGATTGTGTAGGGGAGACATGTTGTTTGTGGAAAGTGTAGATAGAATTTGGACCAATAAAGAAATAAGGGTGTAGAGTGCCAGATTGACACAAATTCTCATGTCATCAGTAGGTTCCTGTTCATTCTTTTGCAGATTTCTCCATTGTGGTGGGGGTGCTTTTCCCAGTGGCAGTCATATTTGTGGTGGTTGCTATAGTAATCCGGTACCAAAATGTCAGAGGAAAGCAGAAGAAAGTTCAGAGGTAAATGTTTATCAGGCTGTGGGGATTCTTTAACCCCTATTTTACTTTAAGTTTGAGAGTATGACCTAACCTCTCAAATTTAATTCTGGTTAATTTTAAATATAATAAAATATGTGCAGATACATTCTTCTTGGACCAGAAGCTGGGTATCCCTTTTAGTCGGAAATACTTCACAGAAAGAAATATTTTTTGTTCTTATGGTAGTCATTCTGTTTATAACTAATAACAAGAGTGACATCCCCCTTGTTATTAAAGATTTTTACATTTATTACAAGAACATAATATCTGGATTTTCATCGCTAATTATGTGTAGGTATCATGCTTAAGTCTTTTATATCCACTGTCACATTTAATCTTCACAAGAACTCCATTTCATTTCACAGATAAAACAGTGATTTCTATTAATTCTTAAAACAATCCTACAAGGTTAGGGACGCAGTTTTGACTGGTGTGGAAACAAGCTCAGAAAGGTTAACAAACATGTTTACAGTCTTGTAAAGTAAGTGATAGAGCTCAATTTGCGTCTAGACATGCTTATTTTGATTTCAAACATGGTCTTGACACAACAGTATCTTTTCAGGATTTTTTAAGTCTGACTTACCTATAAAAAGGTCTAAAAACATTGTATGAAAAATTAACAAAGTTATATAATTTACATAATATTGGTTTGAACACCATCATTATTAGGAATTAGTGTCCTGTAGAAAACCAAAAAGCAAATAACTAGTGGTGATCATGAATTACAGGTCGATGATGGCAGCTAACAGGGAACTAAAAGCTAAAGAATGTTCTAGGGGCAGAAAAAAAAAAAGCCAGTCAATAATGGGCATGGCACAAAGGAAGTTGGCAGTTTTCTAGAGTTTCTCTGGCATGCTGGATAAAGCACCCAGTTCATGTGACCTATTTTCTCTTACAGGCCACTATCCATCCCTGCCACCAAGCCCTACAAGCAAAAGCGCAAACCCCAGACACAGAAAGCTGTTCAACCCCAAGAGGTGAATTCCAGTTTGAAATGGTTTTGCCATGGTCCCTGTTTGTGACTTTTTTCACTCTTGTATGCTGACCACAACTTAACTTTTTTTTTTTCCTATTAATGTTTACAAATCTACCACACTGGCAAGACTTATGGGCTCTGTAACTACATATCCAGAAACTTCCCCTTTGTTTTTTGTTAATGTGAAAAAGAATTCCTAAAATGTAGGGCCATTGCTGGGGTTCATGAAATGGAAAAAGAATTAAAAGAACAATGAAGGGAGATGCCAGATGTCTGCTTTTCTCTCTCTCTCTCTCTCTCCCTCTCTCCCTCTCTCTCTCTCTCTCCTTTAATATAGGTTTATTATTCCTTTGGCAGATTTTCCAATACATAAAATGATAAGTATATTTATATGATAATATATGTAATATATATAACACTACTACCCTGCCATATCCTACAAGTTTAGAGATTTTAGGTGAAGGTGATTAATGATTAATATTATAATAATATTTCTGATGGAAAATTTCCCTTGTAGCTTTTGAGAAATTCCCCTATAAATGCACCAGCTGTGTCACTGTGATTTCTTGTCTGATCTCTTGGTATCTGCTTGGTTCCAAGATCCCAGGCCTTGAAATGACTACTTATCTGGCAGCTGTACTTAGGAAATTGATTATTTCAGTTGACGATATGATTTCTCCCCTTTAGATGAGTCAGATGAAGAAGCTCCATGTGTCTGATCAGTTCCTAGAAGATGGTGAGCCTCCTGCTTCTGTGGTAAGACAGTAACTTGAAGAAATACAAGTGAAAGACATTACCCACAATGTCCAATTATTTATTCAGAAGAATCTTGAATTATTTATTCAGAAGAATTAGCATGCATATTAATATAAATACTGAAAAAATTTTGAAAATATAAAATACAAGAAATGTGTGCCTTTCAATTACACTCTTAAACTGAACCCTGAACTTGGACCCCAGGGCTGGGAACTTGATAACTCATTACAAGAAAGGTACCAATCTACCATTCTTAGTTTAGGATGCTACAGTGAAAATAACAGAATGAATGGGTGAAAAAACAAACATTTATTTCTCCCTGTTCTGGAAACTGGTGCTGACAGAGCCAGTGTCCGATAAGGCTTGCTTCCTGGCCTGTAGACAGCTGTCTCTCACTATGCTTTCACAAAGAGAGATAGAGATAGGGAGAGAGAGAGAATGAGAGAGAGAGAGAAAGATGTCTTGTAAGGGCATGAATCCTATTCTGAGAGCTTAAGACTCATGTACCTCCAAAAGTTACCAACTCCAACCATTACATTGGGGATTAGGGCTTCAACATGTGAATTTTTGGGGATCCACAAATATTCACTCCATAGTAACCATTAGCATCATAAACCTATTGGCAGTGGACCCATGTCTGAATTGTATGCATGCACCTAAATGAGAGCAATCAAACTTACGGGTTTAGAATATTTATGTGACTAGGATGATAAATTCTCCACTTCTAAAAATTATTATTTTTTTTTCATTTTTCTTTTATTATTCATATGTGCATACAAGGATTGGTTCATTTCTCCCCACTGCCCCTACCCCCTCCCTTACCACCCACTCCGCCCCCTCCCTCTCCCCCCCCCAATACCCAGCAGAAACTATTTTGCCCTTATCTCTAATTTTGTTGTAGAGAGAGTATAAGCAATAATAGGAAGGAACAAGGGGTTTTGCTGGTTGAGATAAGGATAGCTATACAGGGCATTGACTCACATTGATTTCCTGTGCGTGTGTTACCTTCTAGGTTAATTCTTTTTGATCTAACCTTTTCTCTAGTACCTGTCCCTTTCCTATTGGCCTCAGTTGCTTTAGTATCTGCTTTAGTGCTAGCTGCTAGCTAGTGTCTCCTATCCTCATCCCCTCCCCTTGTTGTGCTTTGCCCTTGATCTAATGTCCACATATGAGGGAGAACATATGATTTTTGGTCTTTTGGGCCAGGCTAACCTCACTCAGAATGATGTTCTCCAATTCCATCCATTTACCAGCGAAATGATAACATTTCGTTCTTCTTCATGGCTGCATAAAATTCCATTGTGTATAGATACCACATTTTCTTAATCCATTCGTCAGTGGTGGGGCATCTTGGCTGTTTCCATAACTTGGCTATTGTGAATAGTGCTGCAATAAACATGGATGTGCAGGTGCCTCTGGAGTAACAGTCTTTTGGGTATATCCCCAAGAGTGGTATTGCTGGATCAAATGGTAGATCGATGTCCAGCTTTTTAAGTAGCCTCCAAATTTTTTTCCAGAGTGGTTGTACTAGTCTACATTCCCACCAACAGTGTAAGAGGGTTCCTTTTTCCCCGCATCCTCGCCAACACCTGTTGTTGGTGGTGTTGCTGATGATGGCTATTCTAACAGGGGTGAGGTGGAATCTTAGCGTGGTTTTAATTTGCATTTCCTTTATTGCTAGAGATGGTGAGCATTTTTTCATGTGTTTTCTGGCCATTTGAATTTCTTCTTTTGAGAAAGTTCTGTTTAGTTCACATGCCCATTTCTTTATTGGTTCATTAGTTTTGGGAGAATTTAGTTTTTTAAGTTCCCTATATATTCTGGTTATCAGTCCTTTGTCTGATGTATAGTTGGCAAATATTTTCTCCCACTCTGTGGGTGTTCTCTTCAGTTTAGAGACCATTTCTTTTGATGAACAGAAGCTTTTTAGTTTTATGAGGTCCCATTTATCTATGCTATCTCTTAGTTGCTGTGCTGCTGGGGTTTCATTGAGAAAGTTCTTACCTATACCTACTAACTCCAGAGTATTTCCTACTCTTTCTTGTATCAACTTAAGAGTTTGGGGTCTGATATTAAGATCCTTGATCCATTTTGAGTTAATCTTGGTATAAGGTGATATACATGGATCTAGTTTCAGTTTTTTGCAGACTGCTAACCAGTTTTCCCAGCAGGTTTTGTTGAAGAGGCTGCTATTTCTCCATCTATATTTTTAGCTTCTTTGTCAAAGATAAGTTGCTTATAGTTGTGTGGCTTCATATCTGGATCTTCTATTCTGTTCCACTGGTCTTCATGTCTGTTTTTGTGCCAGTACCATGCTGTTTTTATTGTTATTGCTTTGTAATATAGTTTGAAGTCAGATATTGTGATACCTCCTGCATTGTTCTTTTGACTGAGTATTGCCTTGGCTATTCGTGGCCTCTTGTGTTTCCATATAAATTTAACAGTAGATTTTTCAATGTCTTTGATGAATGTCATTGGAATTTTGATGGGAATTGCATTAAACATGTAGATTACTTTGGGGAGTATCGACATTTTTACTATGTTGATTCTACCAATCCATGAGCATGGGAGATCTCTCCACTTTCTATAGTCTTCCTCAATCTCTTTCTTCAGAAGTGTATAGTTTTCCTTGTAGAGGTCATTCACATCTTTTGTTAGGTTTACACCTAGGTATTTGATTTTTTTTGAGGCTATTGTAAATGGAATTGTTTTCATATATTCTTTTTCAGTTTGTTCATTATTAGTGTATAGAAATGCTAATGATTTTTCTATGTTGATTTTATATCCTGCTACCTTGCTATAGCTATTGATGATGTCTAGAAGCTTCTGAGTAGAGTTTTTTGGGTCTTTAAGGTATAGGATCATGTCTAAAAATTATTTAAACCTTTCATTAAGCACACCTATTTTCAGGAACCTCTTTTGAATTAAGTTTTCTTTATTTGCTTACTAGCTAATCACAAAACCAGATTTTCCACCACCACCGATTCCTACAACTGTATCATCTTCCTACTTCCTTGTAAGTATCAGTGACCACGTGATGGAGATTTTCTGAATGTCTTCTGAGTCCACTGAGGACATTGTCTCTAATCCGTGGGTTCTTCATCAGGACATTGTGCTCCTGAGGTCAACCTGACATATCATAGCATGTGAATCCTGGAGTATCTGAAAAAGCAAGGCCTATTTCCTGAATGTAAATTCATATAGCTATTGAAATTTTATTGTGAAAAAATAGTTTTCTTATTTTATAATTGTTCAGAAAGGATAAACATTTGTTTTATGAGTTAAATGTCTCTTTTTAAGGATCATTTCTAGATGAATATTCTAGAATTTTATTATAATGGAATTCATTATCACTTATTATAGATAAAATCTTATTATTATAGTTTTGTAGGACATAGAACAGACCATCTACAGGCAAACTTGGGATAAAATTCAGACTCTCATGAAGTAAAAAGTAGAGTTCATTCACCTTTCAAATAGTTTCAGACACTATTTTCTCATGGTTTTGGTATACTTTTGTAGGTAAATAGGAAAGAGCTAAAGTATAAGTTCCTCTTTTTTCAAGAAATTTTACATTCTTAATAGGGAAGCAAGTGTACACATGAAACATTTAATTCAGCAAATATTATTTGTGCCAAAGTAATAGTAATGAGAGAACTGTAGGGAGGACGTGGATGGGTTTTGAGCTGTTAAAGCAGGAGGAAGATCCATTGACTGAGTAGTTGAAATGCTACCTGGCTCCCACTGTTCGGTAAAATTTAAATGAGTGAGGAGGAGGTAAGGAAGAATTTCAAGAAAGAAGTAAGTTTTGCTAAGATGAGAAAAGCATAGTATAAATGACCTACCATCATGCTTGTAACTAATTTACCATAAAGTCGCAAAAGTACTTTCCTCTAGTGTTTTTAAAGGTAAGCCGTAAGGGATCTATAGTCAAAACACTAGCACTCCTAGTATCAAGAAAAAGAGTCCCAACCATGTCTTTTTCAGAGAAGTTCATGAGAACAGTATCTATTGATTGGAATGTGGGTGCTAGCAATAATGTCTTGCTTCTGAGTTTTGCCAATAACCAAGAAAGGAGAAATGGAAAGGTATCAGATAGCTACGACAACCTCCAAATTCCTCATTTTCTTGGAAATAATCCCTAAGGACAGTGGGAATGGATGTAGCCTTCCATCAAATACTCACCGTATCTTCTCCTCATCACCTGTCCATTGCATGGTATGCTAGTTTCCCAGATGAATACTTGCGTCCCAGGTTGGTATTTTTCTTTGCTTACATTCTGACCCTTCCAGGTTTCCCCTTCTTCACTGCTGATATGTCAAATGACCTGTGAAATAGGACATATGATTTCAGAGCATTGATTTTAGTTTCTTAATAGTTCCAAGTTCTATCTATCCACTACATTTTTAGAAAAAAAATTGATCATTCAAGAGGTTTTTTTTTTTTTTTTTAGGGCTCAAATTCAAAAGTCTGAAGCAAGAGATAAGCAAGGATTTTTGAGCAAACGACCAAGTTGGAACACTGAACAATTTGGATGGAAGAGAAATATGCTTATTTTCTCACTACTGTTTTCTCTTGACATTCAAAAGAGTTTAACACTTCCTGATTTGTGTTATACTCTGAAGAAATTAAGTAAAATTTTTCAAGAGAGAAATACTCTTACAAATCTTTATATTAATTTAATTTTTTTCTCCATACTTGTGGAAAGGAAGACCACTAAAGAAGTATCTATGAACCTTAAATCTCTAATTAGGTGGTTTTTTCCTTAGAACTCCTTTTTTCTTTTGTTTTTTTACTATGACATTGACTAATTCCTCAAATATTTTGAACACCTTTGTTTGGTCATTTGAAAGGAATCAATATGCCTGCTAATAAAACTTAAACAAAAATCACAGGAATCTGAGAAGATGGAGAGAAAAGTACATTCATTATTACATGAGTAGCAGCATTTTGATTTTTGAACCATTAACTTGTCAACTTAAAACCCTCAGTGAAGAAGAAAATTATGTAAACATTCTCTGCTTTCTATTTTTCTTTCCTACATTGTTCTTCTGAAATTTATATTAGCTGTGCCATTTGAAGTGGTTTTTTTGTATTTTATGACATTTTAACTAAATTTTTGTCATAAATGTTTGCATAATTCAGTTGCTGGCATGGTTAAACTGAACTGTACTTTCTAAATAGAGAAAGTTTTTATTAAATAAAATGGTAGCATAAACAAGAGGTTGTGAACTGGTGACCTGCAGACCATTTTTGGACTACTGATGTATTAATGAATCTTATTTGGCCTCAAGATGTTGGCTACATAATAATTTTCGATGTTTGAATTTATTGCAAATATTTTAAAAATAACAAGAACTTATATAAATACCAAATTCCCCAGCATTTAAAAGTATTTAATGGTTTGTCAACACTGGGATCACATTGCTCATAATAACTACAGCTTAGTTGACAGATGGTAGAGTAAATATTGTCAGTCGAATACCAAATCTCTCCTTTCTTTCTTTGCTTTCAGAACTCCAATTTTATCTAGCTGTCCATTTTTAGGACAGATAATCTTAACTCCATCTCATGGATAAATCCTTATCACTTTAACTCAATCATAGTAATCTCATTTTCCTTGCCTTGAAAGTTGACTTGAAAGCGAATGTAAAACTCCCTCTTTTTTCCAAATGAGATGAGAAAGGAGGTATGTTGGGGAATTTCTGGGAACTATTTCTCATGTATTCTATTGGATGTTGGCATCTGGTACTAGTGAAGTTATGCTTTGATTTGAAGACAAGGATGATATGCTGAACAACATAGAGAAGAAAGAAGAAAAAAAAAAGAAAAACCTGGTCTTATTACCAATGTCATTGAGCTGATAGTTTAATAACTGGTGAGGTCACCCCACACTTTGTTGGAACTTTTGTTGTATAGCAATAAATTTTCCTTATTACTCAAACCTTTTTGAGTTAGGTTTTATCTCATCTGCAATTGAAGTCATCCTATCTCTTCCTACTTAAGGCTCCTAATAAAGTATCCTTTCCATGATCAAGATGCATGTGTTCTACTTCATCATCACAGCTACATTTTTCTTAACTTCATCCATATCCATCATTTACCTGCAAGAGAATTCCTTAAGAGAATTCTTCCACATTTCTGGTTTTATGTTTTATACTGTTGATCCTCTTTCTTAATTGGAAGGTTTTTAAAAACTGTTTCTCCTATTTGAGTATTCAGTAATGAAACTTTTTCTAAAAATGATTGATTAATGCTAAAATTAATGCAGTGATGGACCATCAGGTATACATCACTTCCAGTGGTCCCTTGTGCTGCCCCTTGTGCTCTGCCGATTCAGAGATGGGTTTTGGCATGTAGGCAATTAATCATAGCATGTATTCACATCTACTGTCTGTGCAATGCAATGGGAGGAAGCAGGATTGGGCCTAGGGAAAAGTTGTCCTGAATGTGTCTCAGTGAAAGCCTGCTAACCCCATACTAACCATGGTCATGGAGTGATCTTTAGAATGGAGTGGAAAGGGGAAAGGCTTTTATACTATCATGTCAACCAGTCATAAGTACAAGCTGCTCTCAAAAGCTATGAGGACTAAGGAAAGGGGACTTTATTTAGTGGAGGTATTTTCCAAGGAAGGCTGGAGGCTACAGGCAGCACTAACAACAACTGGGAGATTAATTTTCTGTGCTGAATGAGATCTGGGGAGCCCAAAACAAGGCTTGCTACTTCTACTTCTTTCCTTTGGATACTATTTTATACATTGTATAGTTGCCTTGAAAGTTTTCCAGGTTTTGCTATATACATTGCAAAAATTTTTCTCTAGAAAATTTGTTTGAACTTAAATTGCCATTAGTAATTGTTCCTACATAGGTGTCACAATGGAACAGCCAGGGTTTTCCAGTTCCCCAATCCCTGGTGAGAATTCTAACATCAAGGATTATGGATCCTCCATGATAAGCAAATCTTTTTATCCTTTAATCAAATTATAACAGAACACATTGGGTTTTCATCTTGGTGAATGTAAAGCCAAAAAACAAGCACCACCAAGAAATGAGTTGAGAAAGAATTATTACCTGCAATGGGTAAGAACAAGGAGTCATTTCCAAAGAAATGCCCTCTTAAAACAAAAGAAGCATGAGGGTTTTATTTTGGGAGCCCATACATGGCTTAAAGCACTTAAGAGGCAGGCATATTCCGGAGCATGCCCAATTTAAGGTCCTCCTTCCAGAAGGAAAGATGGCAGACACATTTTGGGGCATGTTTAGCTCAAGGTCATGGGGCACATGTTTCAAAGGTTACAATGGCGGTCAAGAACACTTCTGGGGGTGCTCAGTTTCTGCCATAATGATGGTGGGCAGAAACACCTCTAAGCAAGCTCAGCTTTCTCCCAAGTTTTGGTTGCAAAAAGAAAAGGACACTTTGAAGGTGCATTAATATAGGAGTTTGCTTCTAACAGTGTCTGCTTCACTTTGTTAAGTGGCTAACAAAATGACAAGCCCAGGGAGGCAAAGGTACACAAAAGCAAAATAGGTAAAAACAAACCAAAGAAATATATGAAAATGTAGGTTAAAAAAAATCAGTCAAGTACAGAGTTCTAAGAGTTCAAACACTGCATTGACAGAAAAAATTATCCAGATGTTCCAGGAGACCATTTCCTTCAAAATGGTCCTAGTTCAGGTCCAGAATGTCATCAGGTTACCCACAACAAATTCAAGGGACTGTTCCCTTGGGCAGGTCATCCAGTACTGAAATCATTCAAAATGAATACTAGCAAAAAGAGTCACAGAGGGAGAAGTGTTTCAACTGTCAAACTAAAGGTATTTATTGTCTCAATTTCCGGAGGTTAGTTTTGTAGAGAATCATCCAGGATACTAACTATCATTTACATACCAGTGCACAGTTATCAGGGTGGCTACTAGCCAGCCAGTTGTTAAGGGTGACTATCAACCAGACACTTGGCTCAGTTACAACTTGTGTTACAAAAGAAAGTTCAAAATGGATTTAGGGCTATCAAAGTATAATCACATTCATTGTGGTTAAGACACCAAGATTCA